GATCGTAAAAAAAAACTGTTAACCTCTTTGGAAAATTACACCTATCAGAATCAATGAGTTGAGCGTCTCGAATTACGGCCCGTCTCGCAGAAAAGTCTTATTGAACATAATTTTTATGGGTCTGCGGAGTCTCTTTAACCATCTACGCGAATTTGCCAGAATTGTTTGTTATCAGATAACATTATAAAACAACCATTTACTTATTATTAATACAATTACGAGGAGTTGGCTTGTTACAGTTTTAGGTCTAATTCACTTTGTTGAAAACTTTTCCAATCATTCCATTCCAGTTTCATAATTAAACCGCCGGTGGTTGATTTAACTAATTAGATATTATAAGGACAGATGTTTCGAATGTCGGGGATCATCCGAAGGCGAAATAAAGGATACAATATGTGGAAAGTTCGGGTTAACTTCGAGTCGAAACCGACGAGAACTGTACAAAAAAAAATCCATAAGGATCAAAATCGGTTTTATACAGGGTGTCCCACGACGAGTTTAAACTATCTGTATACAGGGTGTTCTCGAACTTATAATGGCATTAAATTTTAATGGTGGTAGTTTGCTTAATTTAAGACCGATTCGCAGATTTCATTTTTCTATGTATGTATAGTTCATTATTTCTTAAAGCCATATTTTTCGAATCCATTTTCTCCATTAATTCGGCGTGAAAAAATCTCGAAAAGGGGGAACAAACGCGTATAATACATATTTGAAATGGAAATCATGTTTCCAGTAACATTAATGGAGGCATTTAATTTTCGATTCGGCAACATTTCACTACCTTATAGGGAATAAAAAATCCTCCCTTATTTTCGTCTCCCCCAATCGAATTTCCAATGCAAAGGAGTGTTTGTAGGTGACAATAAATTCATTTTTATTTCGTATTTGCTTCAATTTACACTTTTATGTATTCTTGTTTTGATTTTTCGGAATATCAATAACACTTCAACCATGTATCAGTGAGTAATATTAATTAATAATGTACCGATGAGTTAAACAACACAGGTAATTTAAAAATAAGTAAATCGATCCCGAGTGAAACTGGCCCTTTTTCTGGACGCTAAAATTTAACGGTGAACGAGACGGAAAGTTTTGTAACGGCCCAAAATCGGCGACAGCTTGACCTGGAATCTGATGGAATTTCGCTAAAATATTTCGAGGTTTCCGCCGAGGTTCTAAAATTAGATTAAAGGGCCCCGACGAAAAGTATAAAGGGCCGAATTGCGCATTGCTCGCTCAATTTATCCGACGTTTAAACTTCCAATTAGATATTTTCAGTCACAACGCCCGTTATAATCACTTACTAGTTGGTTCGTTGATGTCGGGACGGTTATTAAATAATTAAATATTCCTGCTGTCATGCGCTCCAGCTTCATTAAACATTGATAGGGCGGCAAGTGGGATTTTTCGAGCAAAACATCGCTTTGATTGGATCGAAAACGAATTGTTATTCCGCACGGAACGCGCCTTAGACGCGCTGAAATGATTATACGAAATTATCAGTCAAGTACAATGGTATAGCGTCAGTTGGCTTTACAATCCGATGCTCTGTATCTGGATAATGTATCCAGCAATGCGGATAAACGCGCGTCCTCCGCAGATCTCTGATAAGGTACAACACAGAAGTGGAGCAGGATTCCTGACGCAGCTATCTGAATGATTATTTTCGCTTTAATTGGTTCCGTTGTTCGGATTCTGCTGGATTCGCCACGAACTATCCAGTCTTCACTACCTACAGGGTGTTAATTGAGTGCCGATACTTCAGGATTTGAATATTTGGAAGATTTTAAGAATAAAAGTTTATATCAACATATGTCCTAAACCTATTAGTTTTGGAGCTACAGAGTATTACAACATTAGAAAAAAAAACTTTTCTATCATAATTTTCTTATTACTCCAGATATTTTTATGAAATGTCATTTTTATACTTGAAGATTATAATTGAAGATTATTAACAAAATTGATTAATTTTGTGGATGGAACAACGCTAATTAGATACTTTTATAATGGGAGTATACCAAAAATATATATCAAAAAATAATCGCAATTATCTCAACAATCAAAATAAAATATTTTTGAAACCTTTATTAAGGAAAATTTTGAAAAAAAAAAATACTTTTAAAGTTCAATATGGCATATATTCGTCGTAGCGGTAATTTTAGAGACTAAAAAATTATTTCTAGCATTTTCTTTTGACGAATTTAGTTATAAAATTTTTTACCGCAAGTCTCTATGACAATTAGTTTGCGAGATATGGCCAAGAGCCATCCTTATTCGATGGCCATCCTGGTACAAAAAAATTCCAAGTTAATTTTGCCTGATAATTAAAAAAGTTAATTCGCGTCGACAAACAAACAGGATGAACTTATTCCGGAAGGAAAAAGGAAAAAAAAATCTTTAAAAAACTTAATTATCTAATGGACTCGGACGGATTGTCTCGAAAATATTCAATTATAAATTAAGTCAACGTGCAATTCCGATTTAAGTACAGCAAAAGCGGCCGCAAACGCTCCCAAAGGGGAGCGGAAAACTCATTTCCCGGGTATTTTCCATTATCACAGGATAATTGGCCCCGTAGGCGAACGTCGCGCCATTTTGGCGTTAGATAACTCGGGCTAATGAAGCTGCAAATTAATTTACAAGTGGTAATTAAAACTTAAGGACGGATTTCCGGAGGTGACGAATCTTCGCATTAACAGAAACGGAATGGATACCTGATAGGAAACATCAGAGTTTTCCTGCGCATTTTCCACGAGGAAATTTATGAGATATTAGGCCGTATTTATAAAAAGGAGCGTAACCTTTTGCTTCAAAACATGAAGCATATTTCAGATGATAAAGGAATTTGAAGATTAATATGTTATTGTCATTTTCTTTGGTAATTAATTTGTTCTTGTCATTTTGCCTTTTGACAATTTTAGAAATTTCTTAGATTTTAAAAACTTTATAATAGTTCGGCAACACTGTCTATTTGTGACGTAATAAAATATCGGTGACGTGCATTGATATTTGTTTTACACCGACTATATGGAATTCTGGAATAAAAGCGTTCATTTTAATACCCTAATTCTGCGGTATTCTTCGGAGCAATTTTCCACCGCCAAGAGAAATCTTTTCCATAAAATAATAAACGGCTATTTAACGCGATTGCACTTTATATACACGGTAAACTTTAATAAAGATTTTTTTAATTAAAAGTTGCCACTATGAGAATTTATTTTTTTTAAACTCGTCTAATTGCGAGCGAAAAATAATTTTTTTCTTGTTATATTTTAGAGATTGCCGGGTTTTCTTTTAAGTGGAAACTTTTTAACGGGCTTTCCTTCCGGCTTTTGCGACCGTGTAGCGCTAACGCCAGACAGCTTAGCAAATAAATAACTAGCCCGGGGGTTTACGAGAAAATGACTTTATTCTCTGGAAACTGGACGGTGCTAAAAACCTCTTGACACGATAATGGAATTGAGCGAGAACTAATATTTCGATTACATCTACGAACGCTCCTGAATCATTTAGAACCGTCTAGAACCATTTAGAACGCTTCAGATTCATTTAGAACCGTCTAGAACCATTTAGAACGCTTCAGAATCATGATTATTATAGGTGATAATATATTTTTTTAAATAAACGAATAGGAGAATATTTCGGATTGGGAGAAAATATTTTCAGGGCTCATAAGAATTATTTGATCGTCTTTGTATTGGGGATAAAACTCGAATCGAGGCAAACCAATTGGAATGTCCGGAATTTTCTTTAATCTGCTTTTGTTAGGCCCTTGTAAGTGGAATGCAACTCTGACAAAAATCTAGAGCAAATACAAAAATTTATAGAAATCACGAAATATTCTTCCTCAATATTTGTTATTCGTCGTGATAAAATTAAATAGCCTTTTTGTCACTTTGTTTGGTATCGATTCGTGATTTTATCGCCTTTCTGCAAAACGTTTTATTACGTCGGATGTGGAGTAAAACACCGAAGACCATAAAAATTTAAGAACAAACATTATGTAATGGGAATGTGTTTGGTATTTATTTTAGACGGAAAATATACACAAAAATCCTTCCAACATATACGAGGGTAGGTGGAACAGTTATCGGCCTCAATCATAGAACTGTCTAGATTAGACCAAACTAGAACGATTCAGAATTATTTGGTACTGTTTAAAACCATGTAGAATGTGTCAGAATCGTTTAGAACTGTTTAGAACCATTTAGAACGCTTCCGAATTATTTCGAACAGTTTAAACAGATTCATCCGAGTACCTAAACACTCGAAGAAATTAGTAATAAAAGTTGTTTTAAACTTCTAAAAATCTAATTTTTGAATATACCTACGTTTAAAGTAACTCTGTATACGAATCTCTGCAAAGAGTTCTTAATCAACTGTCGAAAGAAAATCCACTCGCGAAACTCTACCGCCCTCTCTTTCCTTTCGTATTATTCCGGCCTAGCGAAAAGAAAGAAAAAAAAAACATTTTAATAACGTTCCCGTTCTGTTATACATGAAGCAATTATCCTGCAACCGTGGTCGGGATAACAGGCGCATTAACTACATCGAAAAATATACCTAATTTCACCCGGAGATGATTTCGAAAACGTTTCACGAAGGCCGATTTGATGGGGCCCTTATTTTTTGTTAAACACGATTTTTTTCGCCTGTAAATTCGTTTAGAAAATTCAAATACAGTCGGTGCAAAACAAATATCAATGCACGTTTGTATATAAAATTATTATTATTTTCTTATAGGAGGTTGGTAAACACTGATTGTCAAATTGCATAGTTGTCGTTGTCATCCTATCTAGAAAACTCTTCGATTTTGTAAACTCTATAAAAGTTCGGCAACACTGCCTACTTGTGACGTAGTAAATTATAGGTGACGTGCACTGATATTTGTTTTGAACCAACTGTACGTATGCATTACATTCAAATTTACTAGGAATAATGAATTTTCATTAAAATATTAACAGTTTATTATTGACTTTACTATACTCGATGACAAGAAAATATCGAATATTCCAAAACGATTGTTTGTATCCTCGCCGAGTTACCATAACAACTCGCCCAGTTAACCAAAATATTTTGAGAATACTCCACCAGTTTGGTTTAAAACAATAATATTAGCCGTAAAAACAATGGGACTGTTTCAAAAATTCGCCAATTTCCTGGGCGTGCGAAAGAGGGAAGTCAACGTATTGGTCGTGGGTTTGAACAACAGCGGAAAAACCACCGTAGTAAACAGATTTAAAAGCGAAGAGGAGCGCGTCACCGATATTGTACCCACTGTTGGATTCTCCGTGGAAAAATTCCAAAGTGAGTACAATGAGCTTAAACACACACAATAGGATGTTTCAGCATTCATGCTCTATTCTATTCTAAACATTATCATTAAAAGTACTGAATTTTCTAAACTTGCTTTTGTGTATTAGCAGGTATAGTTAGGCAGGAATAACTGGAGACGTACAGATTGTTTTAGAGAAAAATTGGAAAAATTACGAGGGTAGGGTAAAAATCATTTAGAATTCTAGAATAATCTATAGAACGCTCCAGAATCATTTAGAATTGTTTGAAACATTTTAGAACGCTTCAGAACCTTTTGGAACACTCCATAATCATTTAGAATGCTCCAGAATAATTTAGAACTGTTTAAGACCATTTAGACAGCTCCAGACAAATTAAAACTGTCTAGAACCATTTAAATGCTCCAGAATCATTTCGAACAGTTTAAACCCATTTAGAACGCTTCAGAATGATTTAAGACTGTCTAAAACCATTTAGAACATTTCAGAACAATTTAGAACGATCTATAGTCATTTAGAATGCTCCAGAATCATTTAGAACTGTCTAGAACTATTTAAAACGCTCTATAGTTATTTAGAACTCACCAAAATCGTATAGAACTCTCTAGAACCATTTAAAACGCTCCAGAATAATTTAGAACTATCTAGAACCATTTAGAACGCTCCAAAATCATTTGGAACTGTCTAAAACCATTTCGTTAAAAAAATCTTCGCTATTCTCTCATTTTTTTTTAGATCAAATCTTCGCAACTATCTCATTTATTTAGATCAGTATCTTTGCAACTATCTCATTTTTTAGATCAAAATCTTGGCAACTTTCTCATTCTTTAGATCAAAGTCTTGGCAACTGTCTCATTTTTAGATCAAAACCTTTGCAACTGTCTCATTTTTGAGATCAAAATCTTGGCAACTAGCTCATTTTTTAGATCAAAGTCTTGGCAACTCTCTCATTTTTTTAGATAAAAACCTCTCGTTTACGGCCTTCGACATGTCGGGTCACGGGCGCTACAGGGACCTGTGGGAGCACTACTACAAAGACTGTCACGGCATCGTGTTCGTGATCGACAGCAGCGACCGGCTGCGGCTGGTCGTGGTGAAGGAGGAATTGGACCTGCTGCTGCAGCACCCGGACGTTTGCAACAGGAAACTGCCCATCCTGTTCTTCGCGAATAAAATGGACAGCAAGGAGGCGCTGAGCAGCGTCAAAATAGCGGCAGGATTGGGCTTGGATAAGATCATCGATAAGCCTTGGCACATTTCCTCGAGCAACGCTTTAACCGGAGAGGGATTGCAGGAAGGGGTCGAATGGTTGACGCAGCAAATAAGGGATATGATTCTTTCTAAAACGTAGTACTTAATGGTATAGGTATAAGCTTTTTTAATTAATAAAAAGACGGTTCTTATTTACTATTAAAATGACTTATTTTTCGTAGTATATAGGGTGTTTTATTTGGGATATCTTGTACATTGTAATTTGTGATATAGGTGTATAGGTCCTAATGTATACGTAATAGTAATTAAAAATGTTTGATAATTACCTTGTTTTATCTATATAAATAAAGATTCTTAAAGTTGTGAGTAATTAAATATACAGGATGCATCTAAAACAAGTGGTCAAACTTTGGGAGCAAGTAGAGAGCCTCAAAATACGACTTAAATGTCATTTTATCGAAATGTCAAGTTTTTGAAAGAATTCATTCCTACTAGATTTTTATAGATGACAATAGTTTCATAATTTTGTGTATCAGAATTTTAAAAGTCATTTTTATAGTGAAAACTGTTCACTTTACGGAAAATCAACAATTATATCTTTTTTATGTAGAAAACATTTTTTCATATGCATTAAACAAATCAATTGAACAGATTTAAATAAAAAGATATACTTAAAGATACTTATTTCAGATAGGTACACCCTGTATGTACAAAACTGTAGGAGCTCTAAAAAAATTTTTGTGTCATTTTCCATTATAAAATGTTAATCATGTACCATAAAAAAGCGAAAATTATTAAATATTGAATTAAAGAAAAAAAACAATAAAAAGCTGTTTCCGCCCGGGTTCGAACCGAGGACCTTGTGCGTGTGAAGCACACGTGATAACCACTACACTACGGAAACTTTTTGGAAAAGTTCTTGAAATTTAATCCTATGGTTATATGAACTTTTAGTCATGAAATAAGCCAAAAAATCACCCCCTTTCGGATGTATTCGATGTTAAGGAACATCCTGTACACAAAAGTGAAAATTTGAAGGAAAAAAGAAAGAGCGATAATGGAGAGATTGCAACTTTCTCACTCTAACCCATATACCCCTAATAAATAGCTTTTTTTCTAAAAAATATCTGTATATTTTATCTATATATTTATTTTCTAAAATAGATCACTCTGTAATTACTTTCGTTGCTAAAATGTAATCACCCTGTCGTTACTTGCAAGTACCTTTTAAGCAATCTTTAAACCCCAGAGAAATAAGTTTCCGTAGTGTAGTGGTTATCACGTGTGCTTCACACGCACAAGGTCCTCGGTTCGAACCCGGGCGGAAACAGCTTTTTGTTAATTTTTTTATTTATTAAATTTTTATTAATTTTCGATTTTTTTATGCTACATGATTGTCATTTATAGTGGAAAATAAAACAAAAAAAATATATAGTTACGCTTATAATCGGATTTATTGCATTATAAATAACACAGCTACGTTCTAGATAAGGACTATAAAAAAAAATTCGACAGAACTAAACAGACTAGACAGCATAATATGTCGTATATCGTTTCTAATAATAATCAGCGTTCCATTACATGGGTATTTTTACCGCTTAAATATAAATCCATATGTTACAAAGTATATTACTCGCAAAATGTTAATATCTAACAAGTTCTCATACAGATATCAGTATAACTAATTATTAAGAACAGACTCGAATAAACAATTGAAAGGCGCGGGAAAAGATATTACAGCCAATGCGATAAAATAAAAAAAAATATATTAATTTAATAAGAGTTTGATTTAATATTTTGATGAAGCGTGAGACTTCTGCATTGTGTAAAATCGCCCGTTCCTGTCAATTGTTGCAATCAAAAAGGCTATTATATTCGCTAATTTAAGTTATATATTCATTTTATTCGAACACCACACATCAGTCGATTTTGATTACTCGCTAATTACATACAGAGTGAGTCACGACGAGCTTAAACTATCTGCATATTGGAAACTACTTTAACAATTTCAATAAAATTTGGTATACATGTATTACGCAATAAGATCTTTAAGGGGATCCTCGTAAAAAAATAATTTGTAACGGTTTGCATCGGTAAAATTAAAAAAATTAAGTTGTTTTAAAAAATACATCAATATACAGGGCGTTTCATTTGAAATAACAAAGTTGATGCCTACTTCAGGTATATCCGGAAGTGGCATGACTGTCAAAATATTTTTAAGAGGTTCATCCTATTACATATGTATACCAATTTTTTTTTTAAACCGATCAGTTTTTTCCAATATACAGATAGTTTAAGCTCGTCGTGACATACTCTGTATAGGTACTGCGTGTATCAATGAAATATCTACATTCAAAGTAAATTCGAAATCACATTAAGTTGTAAACTAGATGAATTTTTAAAAGATTTCGAGTGCAAATTTTTGAAAAGTACATAACGAAAAAAAAAAACTTTCAGTGTTTGAGATTACATCTCAAAATTTTAACATGTTAACAGCCACGATTTTTAGACTAACAACGAGAAACGAGTTTGTACAATTCCTAATGCGACAAACTTTGCTAAAATTTATTTTCAAATAAAACATTTTTTTATAGAGAATGGAATAAATTGAGATCACGTAAAATATGTAGAACCTAAAGAATAACAAAATGAACGAAATATAGACACCAAAACTATACAAATAAAATAACAAACATCACATTCGTGCGAAAATATTTGCTTAAAAATTCAATCCCTGAATAAATCGATGATGAATTCTATTAATAAAAATATTCCACTATGGAACATACAGGGTGTTTTTTTAATAACATGCTAATACTAAAGGCGGTGTTTCTTGTGAACCTATGTTCATATGAAGTTTTTTTCTTAAAATGAACCCAAGAATCACTCCCTTCAGTATTAGCATATTACTAAAAAACACCCAGTACACTCGTAATTATCAGGAGATCAAATAAATACTGTTCATAATGAACAAAACATGATATAAAATCTATCAAAAAAGCCAAAAAAATTGTAATTTTTTTCCCATTTACTGGTAATATAACTCTCAATCACCAATAAAGGTTTAGATTCACAACATTCGATTGATCCTCAGTAGATAACATTGAAACTGGGAACCAAATGTACGAAGGCAGCATATTTTATGTAAACAACAGTTTAAATTAATTCTTAATACTACACATACTAGATAAATAGCAATTTGTTACGAAATTTTTCAATTTTTGAAACTTTTAATAAAATCGATAGTTCAATTTCAAAATACTCGACAAGTTGAATTCTGTACAGTCAAACAAAGATCTTTTAATACTGTTGAATGAATAAACAAATAGGTCTTAAGTAATATTGTGCACTAGTTTCATCAATATTCCCATTCCCTTCTATACAGTGTGTTAATTAATTGAGTGCCGATACTAAAATACCTGGAGTAATAAGAAAATTATGATAGAATAGTTATTTTCGAAAACTAAGAGGTTTAGGACATACATTGATATAAACTTTTCTTCTTAAAATCATCCAAATATTCACATCCTAAAGTATCGGCACTTAATTAATTAAAACCCTCTACTTGAATAATACTTCCCATTCTTCGCAAAAAATACTATTTACCAAGGTGATTCTATCAACAAATAACACACAAAAACAGGCGATTTTAGACGTAATAATCATCGCCTTCGTCCAAATCTCAGGACCATTGCACCTTCCTACAGTTACACAGCCACTTAATAATTCGAGCGTTTCGTTCCACTATCGAAGGTGGATCGCCCGATCTATAAGCCGATGGGCAATAATCGACATTCTCGATCGGTCTGCTCGAATCCACCGATGATACTTCCGAGAAAAACACCGGGCTATCCGTTGAATCGCTAAAATAAACACACAAAATTTAATCTCCTTACTAAACCGTACATAATGCGAAGGTACGGTGAAAAGTGTTCGGTCTGAATTAATTAGAACTGTTTAGGGCAATCTAAAAACGCTTCAGAATCATTTAGAACTGACAAGAACCATTTAGAACGCTTCAAAACCATTTAGAAAGCTCCAAAACCATTTAGAACTGTCTAAAACCGTTTAGAATGCTCCAGTCATTTAGAATTGTTTTAAACGATTTAGAACCATTTTGAACGCTTCAGAACTATTTAGAACCGTCTATAACCATGTAGAACGCTTCATAGTCATTTAGATCGCTCCAGAAAAAATTAGAACTGTCTAAAACCATTTAGAACAGTTTAGAATCATTTAGAACGCCACAGAATCATTTAGAACTATCTAAGTAGAACGCCTCAGTACCAATTAGAACGCTCCAAAATCATTTAGAACAGTCTTGAACTACACATTTCGACATAATCAGATAGAATAAATCAATTTATCAACCTAAAATCGCAGTCTTTCGTCGTCAGTCCGACAACTTTTCACCTTACCCTCTTTTTCCAAATCGTACCTGCGATTCAACATTTCCTCGAACCGATCCCCGGACAGTCCCAAATACTCGAAGAACTCCTGATGATGCGGCGGCTCGTTGGGCCTCCTGTACCGGTCGCTTATGTCCGATTTGGACCGCAAAATGGGCCTATCCCGCTTGTATCTCAGACACTTCTGTCGTTTGAACACGGCCGACGGCTGGGGCCCCGGCGAGAGCTGCGGCTGCGCGTACGCCTGCCTGGCGGCCCGGCACTCGGGCTCCTGGCAGCAGTAGTACGAACTGCCGCCGCTGTGCTGCGTGCTGGACCCCGAATCCCTTCGAACTTCCTGCGTAATTAAAAGGTACATTAGAGCTATCACATATACGAGCGTTCAGCGAGTTGGACGAGTATAAAAGCAATGTAGTTAATACAAACCGGTCGAGGAGATGGTGGCGGTTCGCTTCGTTGCGTGTAATGGCCGCTGGAGCCGCCGCTGTCCCGGTTCGAGAGGCTCTTGTTGCTGCTCTTGTTCGAGCTCGGCTCTCGGCAGTGCAGGTCCGGCAGGCTCTTGTGGCATCGTTGCGCGTATTCGGCCGGTGGGCTCAACGGGGCCATTTGGTCTACGCGTAGTTCCTCCGCGCTGTCGCACACCAGCAACTGGCGCAGCCGGTTCTGCAGCAGGTCCGTGCTGGTCGTGGAGTAGACGGTGCGACGGTGGGTTAGAGGTGGAAGGGATCTCGACGGAGAGACAGCCATATCTGTTAAAAACGATACATGTAGTGGTAGATTTAATTATGCGGGTGTAGTGAAGCTTACAGTTCGATAGAGTTGTGGGTCTGTAATGGGCCGATACGTTTACGGATTTGCTGCGATTGTACGTTCCGTAGGCCGTGGCTGCGGAATTGGATCGTAACGGAAGTACTTGCTTTGTGTCTCTGACAGTTTCCGATTTAACGTAGAAGGGTTTGCTTTCTGCTAGCAATTCGACCGCAGACTTCCTCTTGGTTCGCATGCTCTGCGATTTAGTGAGACTGGGATACATCATCGTGGCCATCGTAACTGGTAATTTTAATTTCTAAAACCGCTCCATGAATATTCGGTAACGAGTTATTTGCTTATAAATAACATTCGAATGGTCTTACCATTTAAATATGGAAGAATACTGTTGATGTGTTAATAATTATTGTATTGTGCTGTTACATAAACATCCTAAAGTCGGAATTGAACGGTCCATTTTCCATTTTTATTGGGGTTTGTATCGAACAACGATCGTAATTCGAAATATCCAACACAAACACACCTTTGAATATTTCAATATTATCAAAATTTACCAGTTACTTCATATTTCACTAACAAAAATACTGCCCACTGCCAACTGTCACATTTGTTGTCAAAACTCAGCTGTTGTGAGCATGATGTGACAGATGTTGACATATGAAATGACAGTAAAAAAACTTCATTTTTCTTTTATAATGTTTAATATTTGTAACCATAGAGAATGAAAGTTATTGTATTTTGTCTATGATTACAAACATAGACAAAATAAATAAAAAGGTTGGTGGATTTTTCACCACGTTGGCGCTTGTAGTTGGTGACCGGAATAGTTTGAGACCAAATTTATTGACAATGGACGTTTGTAATAAGTCAAATACAAAGAAATAGAAGATTAACAATCTAACCTCAATATTATGACAGTAAAATAATTAATCGTACGTCATTGTTTCTTTCTCTCTTCTTAAAATAAGTCTATTTAAAGAAATAGCAACATAGAATGTTCGTTATTTAAAAACATCTCTTACATCTACCTTCAAGAAAAAGAAACGGAATCGACTTTTTCTCATAAATAATGGACGCGACCGGATCCAATCCAGCACCAGCCGATCGTGAGGTACGTACGAATCAAAAGTGAAAAGAGAAAGGCCAGATCGGTATTAAGGTCGACGTTAAGTAGAGCAAGGCATTCGCTCGAGTCGACAGTCCACGTTCGCTTTAATCCAACGATGATTTTGCAGAAGGAAGCCGAGGGCGCAGCCCCGGAGGCGGCCGAAGCCCCGGCGGACAAGGCCCCTTCGGAGCACTCCGAGTACGACAGCGCCGACGCCGAAAGCTACAGCGACAACGACGAAGCCTCCAAAGAGAGATCCAGGAATTCGGAGACCAACGAGCACACCAATTCCGACGATGGGAGTTTCGAAAGGGAAGAAGGAGACGGACAGGATGGCGGTTCGCCTTCGAAAAAAGTCGACGATGACGAGGATAAGAAGAATCCCCAGTATATTCCTAAGAGAGGAACGTTCTACGAGCACGACGATCGAACTTTAGAGGACACGTACGTACTCGTTTACTTCACTTATTTATTCGAGAATTCCTGCTTATTCAATTTTGGATAATAGATAAGTTATTTTATAACAATATGTGTACAATCTTCGATAACAATTAGAGCAAAACATTAACTAATAAGCGAAGAATCTATCGAGACGAATCGTTCGTATTTTCGTGATTCATTCGAATTGTTTCGAGCTTAGCTAAACGTTATTTGTCGCCATTTAGAACGCTCCAGAATCATTTAGAACTGTCCAAAAACATTTAGAATGTTCCAGAGTCATTTAGAACGCTGCAGAATCATTTACAACTCTCTAGAACCATTTAGAACGCTCCAGAATCATATAAAGCTGTCTAGAACCATTTAGAACGCTCCATAGTAATTTAGAACGCTCTAGAATCATTTAGAACTGTCTAAAACCATTTAGGATTCTCCAGAGTCACTTTAGAACCCACCAAAATCATTTACAACTGTCTAGAACCATTTAGAACGCTCCAGAATCATTTAAACCTGTTTAAAACCATTTATAATGCTCCAGAGTCATTTAGAACGCTCCAGAATCATTTACAACTGTTTAAAACCATTTAGAACGCTCCATAGCCATTATTCAGAACCCTCCAGATTCAATAATAAGCAAAGAATCTATCGAGACGAATCGAACGTATTTTCGTGATTCATTCGAATTTTTTCGAGCTTAGCTAAACGTTATTTGTCGCTTTAATACTTTTATCCTCAGCGAGGAAGTCGAAGAAGAAGAGGTGGAAAAGGACAAGGACGGCAAGAAGAAAGTGTGGCAGGATAAAAAGGAGAAATGGGATCACGATCGTTTCAACGAGCCGGAACAAGCTCCTAAAAGTAGGGCAGAATTGGTCGCTATTTACGGATACGATATCAGAAACGAGGAGGGCCCTCCGAGGGCTCGAAGGCGTAGAAAATACGGGTATATATTATGCGTTTAAACATTACAAGTAGTTAGAGGGGAGATGGAATTATTTTGAATAAATTTTTAGTCGTGGTCCGAATAAGTATACTCGTAAATGGGAGGACGAGGATGCGTATAACAAACCGCCGGTGCCCACCGTTAAAAAAGGTAAAAAACCGAATTCGAGGAAAATCGAGGAGTTCCCGCCTTTGGTGAGAACATCCGATTCCGAGCAAACCTACGAACCGAAGAATTCCTCGCAAGATGACGATCCACCTCAGCAACATCAGCAAAACAATAGGAACGAATATTCGAAGTAAGTATAGCCTTTAGTGTCGTTCTGAAGTCTACCAAGTAGCATCCTCCCAGCTCGTCTCCAAGTGGTCGATCTACCCCTTTAAATGAGTCGATGAAGGAAAATGAAACTATAATCTCCTTGGGTTGATTAGAAGGCTATAAAATTGTCTATAGTCGAGCTAGATATGTGAAATTTTCACCAAACATAGCCTTAAGTCAGGTCTTGAAGTCTACCAAGTAGCATCCTCCCAGATCATCTCCAAGGGGTAGATTTACCCCTTTGAATGACTCGATGAAGGAAAAAGAAACTGTAATCACTATGGGTTGAGTAGAAAGCTATAAAATTTACTACAATCGAGGTAGATATGTGAAATTTTCACCAAACACAGCCTTAAGTCAGGTATTGAAGTCTACCAAGTAGTAGCATCCTCCCAGCTCATCTCCAAGTAGTCGATTAACCCACTTGGAATGAGTCGATGAAGGAAAAAGAAACGAAAATCTCTATTCAATGATTGTAAAGCTAAAAAAATTGTCTACAATCGAGGTAAAGATGTGAAATTTTCACCAAACATAGCCTCAAGTCTTGGCTTGATGTCTGCCAAGTAGCACCCTCTCAGCTCATCCCGGCCTTCATAAAGGCCGCTTGAAATATAAATCTATTGAGGTGGACTTTGGCTTGAGCCTGTCTTGGTCAAGGTTCCCCTTGCGTCTTTAGTTTAGTACTTAGTACAGTCTCGATAGCTCGTCCATCTAACACAAAACTGTTACATTTAGGAACGATTACGCCAGAGAAAGGACATCGAAAGCGGAGAACACCTTCAATAACTCGAAGAACGACGAGAACCGACGCGCCGGCACCGGTCGAGTGAGCAATTCCAAGCGAGAACCGAACGAATCCGAATACCACGGCTTCACCACCACCTCGAGGAAGGTCCGAAATACGAAATACGCTTCGCAAAACGCGCCGTCATCACACAAAAACGCGTCCAAAGACGACTACATTCATTCTCAAAATTTCTCAAACAAAAATAACGTAAGTTTCGAAGCTTTCGAGTGCTATTCGTAATGCTAAATTTATGTAAAAATTGCAGCAAGACTTAGAGAGCGATATGAATAAATTGAGCATCAACGAAGGAAGTAAGAGCTACAATAAAAGCGGTTATAATAGTAGCAACAGCGGAGGGCAACGCCAAAATAGCGTTCCTCCGAGGCTACAATCCGAACCGAAAGGTCCCAAAAGGTACAGCTCGATGAGGCAAAAGAGTCTACCGGAAACCAATACTCCGCCTATATCCAACTACCAACACAGCCCTACTTTCTATCCTACCGGTAAGTTTATGCAGTCACAAGTAGGCAGTGTTGCCGAACATTCTAAAATAGTCAAAGGGCAAAATGACAGACATTGTTTCGTAGAGTACAACCAACAGTCCGTACCGGCCTCCACCCAACAGCCGCACATCCACCAGAACCAAATGCTGCCGTCTACCACGCAGGTGGCGCACGTGGCGCCCCTGCAACCGGCCGCCCTCGCCCCAGTGCCGGCCACGTTCGCCGCGCAACCCTACCCGCCGCCGCCCGCCGCCTTCATGCAACCGCCCGCGGTGGCCGGTCCGCCCTTCATTCCCCCGCCGCAGTCCACGCAGCTGTTGAACTTCGTGCAGGGCCAGCCCGCGTTCCAGCCGAACTTTCCCGGGTTCCAGCAATCCTTCAATTCCGTGGTAAATCTGTTCGATGGAAAATACTAATGGGTGTTTAATGGAGGGTTTTTTTGTAGACTCAACCGGCCGAGTTGTATCAACCCCAAGGGGGTATAACGTATTATTCGACGGACCAGCAGCTGGCGCAGCGCCAGGTGCCCCTGAAGCGCCCGAAGGCAGCTATACCGATCGTGGCGCCACCTGCGTACGATAAGAAAGACGAGGCGAATCCTCAAATCGATGGGGCCGAAGCTGTGGACGTGCAGCAATGATATACGGGGCGGTTTTATTGGTAATAATAGTTTTATTTTCGGTTTAATTATGCTTTTCATTTGTGTACATTATTATTATAGGATAATTTATTATTTTCGATGTTTTAAAACAGGATTTAATGTAGAGTTTGTTGGTTTTAAGAGCGTACCTGCTGGTGCTTTGTGCGTGTGGGATTTTCGATATATTTTGAAATTTTTTTTCGAAAAAGTAATGGAAGAAATCGCTGGTAATACATGCAATCGAAGTGTGGTAGTTGTGCTCTTAATAATTAAGCGAAATAAAATCAAATTTCTAGTATTTAAAGATAACTATTATCGAATTTCTACTTTATCTTTTTTAAAATAATAAAAAAAACTACGTGTTACTCTTTGTTACTAAATGGAATGTATTTTACCTCGTAATAAACAACATCATATTCAAAAATTGGTCTGTTGAAAGTTCCTTTTGTTACATTTAAGTTAATAAATTAGGGTAATTCGAGTTTTCGGTATCAAATTATGCAAGTTTCAGGTGAGTTTCGTGTCAAGTGTGCTTCAAAACGGTTCAAAAGAGATATTAAATTAAATTAATAGCTTATGTGTAGGCAAATTAAATAGGGTAGGGGAATTAGGCTCGGCACAAAAATGCATTTTGCTCGAGGGAAAAATAGTAAATGCTCTGTAAATAAATTAAAAATGCTTCTTATAATAATGAAAAACGCCTTGTATTTTGTAAAAAAATCACATTATAAAAATTTGCAAATGTAGTAAATTCGATTTTTTATTAATATACAGGGTGTTTCCTAAACATGCGGCAAAAATTCAGGGGGTTGTTCCTTGGACTATTTTAAGAATGTTTTGTCCTTTGATGATTTTTGAAAAACCTCTTTGTTTCGAAGATACAGGGCGAACAACATTTTTCATATTTTTAAAATTAATAATAATTTAAATAAAAATGCGTACCGCACTGTGTTTACTAAGTAGGTACAATTTATTTTTAAATTTGTTTAACAACATTCCAATTACTAAAAACGGCCAGTTTTTTGACTTAAAATTGATAAGTTCAGATGGTAAAGGAATACAGATTAAACTGAGGAGAAACAAGGGAATGAGGAGAAGATTGGATGCTTGTATGCTGGCTAGAGGCGGTCATTTTCAACAGTTTTTGTAGGTTAAGTTAAATTTTCATGAAATTTTTCATAATAAAATGTTATTATCTAAAATTTTGTTTCCCCTGTATCTTCGAAACAAAGAGGTTTTTCAAAAATCATCAAAGGACAAAATATTCTTAGAATAGTCCAAGGAACAACCCCCTGAATTTTTGCCGCATGTTTAGGAAACACCCTGTATATTTGCACTAAAAAAATATGTTAAAGCTCGGTAACTATTTTAAATGTGGCAACACTGTTATTATTTTATTCGCTTGTTTACCCAGTCGCAGAGTAGGCAGGACCCAATTTACCTACTCTACCCCTCCCTGCTCCATTCTTCCCTACCTCTACCTACCACCTTCTACCCTCCTCTGCCTCTACCTGCCCTACTCCTATCTCCCCTTTTTACCCTATTCTACTTCACGCTTCTTCCTCCTACCCCTATCCTAGCCTCTTCCACCCTCTCCTACTCTCTTCTACCCCTTTCTCCACCCATCAGTACCAAGCATCTATTATTTTTATCAAATATTTATTATTTTCAAAAGCATTTACGAGTATAATGATTAAATTAACAATTAAAAAATATCATCTAGCTTGTAGTGTATAAATAAAAAAATCGGTTTTAAAACAATACGATTTATTTTATCACATTATGTGAAAATTACAAATTATTTACATTATTAAAATAAAAAACGTACTATCACTTTCATTACTCCATTTTAAAACGCTATTATTTCATTGCAGCTCTCCGATTGTTGTTGTATAAACAGAATAAATTAAACATAAACAACGGGTCTCGATAAAGTCAACGAAAATTCAACTATTTTAGCTTCGAAACTAAAATTTTATCGATTTAAATCTGAAAGATATGGGCTAGTTTTTGCTAAAATATGGTCTCGTTTTTTTTTAAACTGTACTATCAATCGTGCATGTTTCTTTAATAAAAAACTACTACAGTTGTTGCTCAAAATGGCGATCATCATCACACGGTGCAATACTTATATTGCAGCAGTATTGCATTGCAGTTACAAGCGTTAGGGCGTTTTCACGCGGGGCAATATACAGGGTGTTCTCGAACTTATGGCACTAAATTCTAGGGGTGGTAGTTTGCATAATGTGTGAACGATTCGCAGATATCATTTTTCTAAAAAAAATTAAATATAATAAACAAAATAGAGCAATTAGAAATAAATGCAAAGAGCGAATACAACCCTGGCCTGAATAGTCAGCTGATCGGAATTTTAACTAAAAAAAACAGATGCTGTGTCTTTATCAGCGAGCGGAAATTTCCCCCTCCGCCCTCCAGCTTTCGAAAATCGTTATCGATGCCGATTGTTTTCTAGTGCGAATTGTATTGATGTGTTTATAACAACGGGATTAAATAGATTTTTGTGATTAGACATTAGTGATTTATTTGATTGTTTTAGTTCTTAGTGTTTTTAGTTTAGTTAGTTCTTGTTCGTTATAGTGATGATCTGGAACAATTAAGCAGCTTTCAACAACACAATAGGTGAGCTAATATTCCTTTCGAGTTTGAAGTTTATTTTCTTCTGTTGTTTGAAAAACCCGGCTTACTTTTATAATTTATCCATGATTCTAAAAATTTAGAGACCATATGGAAAAATAAGTAATAAACAAATTGGAATAAGATATCACCCTTAATTTATAAATCATTATGCTGCAACTAATTTATTTATTTATTTATTTAACTGCAATGCAATACTGCTGCAATTTATTGCACCATGAGGAAACGCTCATTGTAATTTTCGAACGCTAAAATTCTTCAAAATGACTTAAAAAATTTGGGTGCGAATTATTTCATTATTAAATTTAATAAATCGTTCATTAAAACCTACTCGTTTACTGGTTATAATTTTTTACATTGACACACATAATTGCCGCGCAATTAAATTAAATTGATCCTGGAGTAACAATTAAATTAGTACAATCGATAATCGAATTTCAAATACTCTCGTTTGCATATTAAAATGTAATCAAATAATGAAATTCAATCGACCCGTTAAAATTTGAGCAACACACTCCATTATAATGTACAATGTCTTTTTACAGTTTTAGTGCACTCTTTATTAATAATTTATCAATTTATTTAGTCTTTTATGGTCGTCTTCGAAAATTTTAATTAACTATTACATTATAAAAATTTGGAGTCGTAATTGAATGTAAGTATTTAATAAAATTACTGGATATTATTAATCTATCGTACGAATTAAAACCAATTACAATTAAATTATGCCCGACGAGTTTTATGTACATTGTATAAAAATTTTTACATTAATATTACGATAAGTTTTCCATATTTCTGTTATCGATTAAAATTTTCAAAAACTACCGCTAATTACATTAGTTAATGTAATAAAAACAGTTCATTACTTTAAGGCTTTTGGAATTGAACAAGGTTGATTCTAGAGTCCTCCTGCGCTTTCCCAATTACAGTCCCAATTCTTCTAACATTTCCAGCATTTGATTGTGTGTACAGAAATTAAAGAGTTAATTAATGTTCTGGGAATTGTACAATATTTATGCAACTATCCAGTGCAACATTGTCCAATCTGATTCAAGTGTTTAACTAGTATATAAGTGTTTTCATAGCGCTGCTTTTGTTACCATGGAAGACGCAGCAAAAGAATTCTCTTCCTGTAGTAAATTCTGTGGACTCAGTTCTGTAGATTGCTGTGGATTCTGTAGACTCTGAATCAAGTGAATCAATCATTGCTTCTTCCATGGTAACAAAAACATGGCTATAAAAACACGTCTATACCAGTTGAACACCTCAAACCAGACTGAACAATGTTGCACTAGATAGTTGCATAAACATGTCAAGACTTGACTATCACCAGTCACCAATAACATTGCATATACGTTCACAATTCCCACAACTTTGGAAACATCTCTCGTACATTCAAATCGTTAACACTCATTGTAAGTGAGTTGCACGGAAAACTCGGGTGTCTTCTCCATCAGACGAAACTGAGACTGTGTCAAAGCGATCGGAAAATCGACTCTAATCGTACCTACAACAATATCTACAACATCGCCTGAACGTGCAGACGCAGCAACAACACAACAAAAGTAGCACTGATACAGTAGCTATGCCGACGTATATCCAATTGATTTCAGGAACACTTTCTTTGATGCACAACTCCACCGCCTCGTCGCTGTAGCTCGAACCTTAAACGCATCAAAATTAATAACGAAAATAGCTCGATAACGATTGAATATACCTTCGTAATCGGTGACGTTAGGGCAATTGACCACACCGTTACAAACCAGCCGAGCCGGGATGCAGAGTTGTTGTTCACCGGGACAAAGGAACTCGCAACCGTCGCCCAGCGGGTCCTCCGGGTTGTTCCCTTCTGTTAATCTCGAGGATATCAAAGAGGAACCGTCTACGTTCCGCGGTAGATGGAACATTTCCGTCCAAGCGATCTTAAAAGCCGCCCTCGTAGGCGACGTTCTTCCTGCAATCGATCATCCAATTATACTGGTTCATTATCGATTAAATATAGTACCTATGAATTGGATAGTGATGCTAGGATCGCTGCCATCGGGACTCAACTCCGCCGACGACAGTATAGGAAGCTCCTTGGCCAGGGAAACGTTCTCCCCGCACACGGACAAATAGGGATCCACCCTGCCCTTGAGGAAGATGTCCACGATACCGTCGTCGCAGGACTTGGACGAGAATTTAATGTGGTCGAAGTGCAACCAAAAGTCCCTGTCCTTGTTCACTTTGATCTCCCAAATGCACCGGATGGACTTCGGCGGCTCCACGTACCCTATCGCCTCGTAGTAGGGATAGTGGATCTCGCCGTCGGTGATGGGCTGGACGATGGCGGGGCCGCAGAGGGGCCCGTGCACGAATTCGTACGAGGCCTCGAACAGCGACGCCGGATGCTTGAAGTAGCTGAGGGCGCTGTGCGTGCTGTCGACGACCATCTGGAGGTTGAGGTGCTCGCCCTTGGAGATGATCTGCGTGGCGAACGCCTGGCGATTGCAGATGCAAGTGACCTCGCCGGTTTGGGCCGCTTTGTTGAGCGTGAGCGGGGCGTGCGAGGCGTTCGCACCCGGCGGAAGGGGTTCCCACACCACCAGTTTGTCCACGCGGTCTTCCAGACAGTTCGTGCACGGTCCGTGGTTGTAGGGATGCTCCTGGAATTGCGCCGGTTAATACTCTGCTCTGGAATTGGTGATGTATACGTTACCTTGAAATACACGTTGTGTATCGTTAGGATTATCCTGGCGAATAGTCGTTTGTCCGTTACGAATCTGTACAAGCAACTGACGTCGTCGCTTTGTTGGGGAGTTTTGTATACGAGGGTATTGAGCGGAGATCGCAACCAGCCTTTTACTTGCTTCCACGAAGAGAATATCTCGTCGCATTGCTTTCCAGGCACGGCTTCGCCCAGTTTCGTGTTGTTGAAGAAGTCGTAGTGGGCCCAATAATATAAGGAAGATCTGAAAGCGACGTTTTGTTAGTGTTTCGTATAGCAAAAGAAGGTGTGGATGAGGAAATTTGTTTGGTAGATGAAACCGGAAAAGAAAGAAATATTGTTTAATGAGGCAATGAGTTTTAAGTGCTTGGAGAAAATATTATACAGGGATTGCATTAGAAGTTTTTGGAGTTCCTGAAGAGTTAAGATTCTGAACATTTAGGAGTAAGGTACAATCAATGTTGCGAGTTTTTCTAAAATAGTTTCAACCATACACCGGTTATACAGGAAGTAGATGTCAACTTCGTTATTTTAAATGGAATGTACCATTTTGACTTAATTTTTGGATTATGTTGCCCTTTTTAACTAAACTTTGATAATAGCACCATATGCCAAAAATGCTCCATTTTTATGTTATTTCATTTTTTTCGAAATTTTTCTGAAAAACAATCGAATGTATTTTCTAGGATATCTTTGTTAATAATACACCTAGAAGTTTGAAATTTGGTATCGATAATGTCTAAACACAGTACTAATTGAAACTAAACTGTGTTTTCATGGTCTATATACAGGGCGTTAAAACTTGTCAGACAAACTTGGCTAACTTAAAGTGGCCATAACTTTGTTATTTCAAATGGAACACCCTGTATTTTTAAGCATTGAGTAATGGATAATTTCATGTCTTTGGGCTAATTTGACGGATACCATTAAACAGGAATAAGCGATTGAAGATATGCAAGCTAGAAAGCTAGAAACGATGATATCGACAATCTTACATGAAGATCTTTATGAAAGACGAATGCATTCTTAATTACATTTTCTAATAAAACAAAGCGATTTAAAAACTAATTTATGTTAGTGCATTCGTGACGAACAAAAGCAATATAATTTTTCATTGATCCCTAAAGTATTCATAATTCAAAAACTTTCGTCGAAATGAAAATCATTAAGGTAAAATCGGTAGATAAATCGGCACTTTCGGAATACCTGTGCTCGAAATCAAACTCGGAATTGATTCAGAGCTATACCCTACCCGCCCGCTTATTACATGTTAGTCATTTGGCATTCATAAAGATGGGATTTATCGTGTCTGAACACGCTAGAATTTCGAACGAAACATATAATCAATGCTACTATATTTTATTTTAATTGCAGACATTAAAGCCCGGACGGGAGAGAGAAATTACGCGGGTTCTTCGTATATAAATGATTTATTTCGTAGACGTTCTGAATATGCGAAAGCCGAATATTCCCCTATTTTTAGTTGTTTTTTCCCCGAATTTATGAATACCATTCGAGGATGACTTACCCGCTGTAGCTGCCTGTTTTGCTTTCGAATCTAACGAACAGCGAATTCCCGGTTGACACGAAATCGTGCTTCTCCATGGCCTTCGAAAATGTGTCGCAGAAAGTCTTGATAATTTTCGAATCGTCCGGCCACGATGCATCGTACAATGTTAAAGATTCGCCGCAATCGCCTTCTATGGGCCTAATAGGCGACTCTATTCGATTGATTCTAAAGCTACACAAAAAATAAAACGATTTATTAACAGTGATGGTTAGGTTCTGGCTCATATGGAAAACCAGTTGGTTTGTAAACTAACCAACTAATTTATGAAGGAATTAGCTTTATCAATACGAATTCAAAGACGGCTTTACTTAAAGAAGAAGCACGGAAAATTTTTCGTAAAATATACCCCAAAAGTATCCCCATTTTAGTAAAAAATTCGTTAGTAGGTTAGTAGTAGTAAATTCTCTATTCTGTGAATGTATTGAATAACTAGACCAAATTTCATGTTTTTGTGAAAACACCCTTCCTTTCCCTTCCCTCTTCCCTTTTCACTCTTCCCTCTTCCCTGAAAAAAGCCTAATTTCTTCATAAAAACCGCGCAATTGACTAGATAATAACTCAGCTGGTTAGTTTAGAAACCAACTTAGTTTCTATTGCAGTAAGTAGAACTATTTGCATACCTAGGAAAATACAACCTGACGATTTCGTCGTCTTCGCCTTGCATGAGATAGGTGCAGCTCGTGTGCGGCGGATACCAATGAGCAACAGATAGAAATATTCCCTCCGAATCGCCGGAGGCCCGCAGGCTCTCCGACGAGAGCAGCCAGTCGCACGTTCCGTTCCTGCTTCCTGCAGTGTCTACGTGACCGGGCCAGTTTCCCACGTTGAAGTGGAAGCCCGTGTTGAGCAGGGGGCCTGGAAATTAGGAAGGAAAAATTTTGCGAGATTCGATTCGATAATAATTTAAGCGAGTGTACGGAAGTGGATTTCGGCACCCCCTAAAAGCGGATCCTCTTCCAGGTTAATTTGTCAGGATTAAAACGTCTTACTTAACCCTAAAGTTAAGACGTAGAGATTCATCCAATTTGTAAATTAATGTCTCTCGAAAGTCTCCTGTTGGAAAAGGAATGAACTAGTTTAACGCGTTTCTTCGGGATTGTTATTCGAGTCAATATTATTCGCACATACGGGAAATTTGGTTCGTTGATGCATTCAAAGTAGGTTGTATGTCCTTAAATTCCACAGTCTCGGTTCAAAGGTGAATGAATAATGCGACTTTTCGCTAGAGCAGTTTTAAAACGAAGCGGGCGAATGAAATCACAAGGATATTTACCTGCAGGAGACGACACGAATTCCACGAAAAGGTCCTGCGACGTGCCGATAATGGAGTAAGGGAATTTGCCCATTCCGCAGAATGTGCCGATAACCGGACTGAACTCGTTTTTTCCATCGTAGATTTTTATGTAATCGTACGGGCAGTTTTCGTCGCCTATAAAAGAAAACAAACCGTTAATATTCCTGCTAAAGATCACGAATTAGGCGCTTAAAAATTAGTTTTCTAGAGTAATTACAACAAGAAATAAATATTTCTTGGAGTCCTATAGAATTCGCGTGTTAGAGAGTGATTTGAAAGCATAATTTTGGCCATCTAAGCCGTTATTATTACTGTTGAAATCTCCCTAATGCTTTTCCAATGATGATTTCGGTTGAATCGAGATAAGGCGTGTAGCGACCCCCCGCGGAAATTGTCTGCAATTCCTCCGCAATTTTCGAGAGCAAGAAACTAAATTACATCGGAATTATTGTTATCTTCGTGTTTACGCCAGAAAGCTTTGTGTGATAGGTCGTTCGTTTTGGAGCAAGCAAAAACGTAAGTACGTTTAATGTGTCCTTTCGTCGCTTTTGGTTTTTGGTCTATATGTTGTATTATTTTCTTAAAACTATTCTAATGCGGTGATTTTCTAAAGGTGATTTTTTCGTGTACCTACTGATAAATGAAATATTTAACTAACTTCTTAAAGGATAGTGAGGGCTTTTTATTTTTTTTTTGTTTTATTTTGATTGTATACAATCTTATGATTGTTGTGTCAAAATTTGAAACAAATCGGAGCAAAACTATACCCTCAATTATACCCTGGAATAAATTCTTGTTTTGCACCAACTGTATGTATGTAGTATCCTGTGTCATTAGTTTAAAATGTTTTTCAGTATGATAGACAAATTAATCATCTAAAATAAAAAAAAACCAAACAAAACAAAACGAAACGAAAATAACACACAACATCAAAAGCAATTTATCTAGTTATTTTTCCGTGTTATTCGTTCTAACAACGCCCGAAAAAGCTCCCTGCGATGTCATTGACAAGGCCCTAATTTATTACGACATCCGAATGCCGAGCAAGAAACTTGCGAGATAAGATTACGACCAGACAGCCTTGAAATAAGACAAAACCGGGAGAATATAGCGCCCAAAATAAATAATATTAACCGTTCTTTTTCGAAAAGAATTCAAATCTTGTTTGTACGACGACAAAGGAAATTTCTTTTAAGTCCTTTGCGAACAAAGTGTCGAACGGGCCCGGCATCTCGATGAGGGATATTTTGAATATAAAATCACTCTTATACAGTATAGTTGCTGTAGTTGCTCAAGAGATGTGCATATGTGACCTAGTTTCCGGGGAATTATTATTATTATCATCCGCGAATTTAATAGAAGCGCTCAACTTCAGTCAAGATATAATTACACCTGTATAATGGAGGCAATATTAAAGGCGAGTTCAATCCTCAACTAACCTTATAGCTTACGAGGGTAGAGTGAAAAGTTCGCGGCCTGAATCATTTAAACAATGATTCAGTGTAAAACAATCTAGAACGCTCCAGAATCATACAGAACTGTCTAAAATTATTTGAAAGACTTTAGAACGCTCCAGAATTATTTAAAACTGTCAAGATCCCTTTAAAACAATCCAAAATCATTTATAACTGTCAAAAACCATTTAGAACGCTTCAGAATCATTTTAGAATTGTTTTGAACTGACGATTTCGACTTAATAAAAAGAATTGTGTAATTTTTCAACTAAAAATCGTTATCTTTCCTTGTTAGGCCGAAAACTTTTTACCCTACCCTTGTACTTACATTCTGGGTAGATTTTCAAGTTTATATAACTTTGTTTAGTAACACTAAAATTTCCCTATACTATAACTATACTATACTCTGTACTCTTTTGTGTAACAGTTTGTTTCAATTTTTACTCATAATGCATCTTGTTGTATACGTAATAATTGAATAATTAATACGAGTTTATGTACTTAGAGTTCCTAATTGTTTAATTGCCGATAGTTTCGGAATTTGAAATTAGATTAAACTAACGTGTTTTCATTCCAAATACACCTGAGAACAGGCGCACTGAATTTAAATTAATGGAGCTCCTCTGATTTGTAAGCATAATACATCAGATTCCGAGAAATACCTACATATGCATACACACGTGCATTATGTATAATTTATTTCTAATTAAAACTCGCATTTAATCCGGAATCGGGTTGTAGAGACGAATCTTTGGAAGGATTTTTATATTTTGCGCCGTAATAAACCGTTTACATCTGGCTTTAATACGAGGGAGAGACGCGAATTTAACTAAATTACATTCCGACAAACGCGGATTTAAAATATTTAACGTGCTGTATCAACCGAAATGTCTGCAGTTAGTTTCAGGCTGCCGGATTAAAGCGGGATTAAGAGATTTAAATGATTGTTTAGCGAATTATTTCCACGTGGAAAAAATTATATTGAATTAGAAATTATAGGTATAGTCGGTGCAAAACAAATATTAACGCACTCTCCTACTATAAACTATAAGAAAATAATAATTTTATATAGAAACGTTGAATTTTAACAATATATATTTTTTGGATAATTTAATTCTGTTTTTTAACAGTATCTATCATCCCTTGTTAATATTAAATTAAATTCTGCAGGTATTAAGCTTGACAATTAGGAAGACAGTAGTGAGGTGCATTGATATTTATTTTATATCGACAATACCTGTGGGGCTCGTTTATTTAGTTTTAAGGAAGCGATGAAGGTAATTAAAAGAACCCATTCGTTAATGCAAATCTAGTATTTTACACACCGGGCGGGTTCATAAAAATTCCAGTTTAAATTAAAGTTGTGTTTATCTTTGAATAAACGAGACAATGCTTAATGTTTCAATTACCGAAACTTCCGCAACAAAAACGCTTAATTACCGTCGTAAAACCCGGTGGTGGAGCTTCCTTCGCATTAACCCTTCTCTGATATGTTTTTATGTTTTCAATTACTAATAATAGTACAACCTTTTCCCGTTCTCTCCGCACCGAAAGCGAGTAGTTTACCCGACACTTCAATCCTCCACATTCCGACCGAAACTACGTGTTCCGAATGGGAGTTAATCTACTCCATTTGCTTTCTTTTCCCTTCGTTTTTTAATCAAAGATCTGAAGATTGCGGGCGGGCCCGCGTCGGCTTTGTATTTTATTTAATTAGGCGGCGCAAAATCTGCGCGGTTTATATGGAAAAAGTTTGATTAGAAACGAAATTAAAATCTTCATCGGGGATAATCTCTTGTAGAATTTAACCGCCTTAGAAGATCGCCGGTGTAATTATCAATTAAAATACCGGCTATTACACGGTAGGGTTTTTTTATGCCGCGGTGGACGGTTTAATCGCTCATCGGCGGCGGGATTTTAAGGGCAAGTTACAACGCAATTCCACATTTATTAAATCTTCCGAAAGTAATATTGTACTTCTTAAAGTTAGCGAGAAAAAGACCTTTTTTTGAGATTTTTTTTAGACGCTACAGATGATTCAAATTTATTAAATTGATGATGATTTATGTTGATGAAGTAAGGAGGAAGCCTAATGGGGAAACTTTAAATAGAAACTAGAAGAGATGCTTAAAAAAGAAGCTTGAAGAAGAATATTAAAGGGAAGCTTTAAATAGAAAATAGGAGAAGCTTAAAAAAAGCTTGAATGAGAAGCTTTAGATAGAAATTTGAAGGAAAAGCTTAAAAAAACCTTGAAAGAGAAGGGTAAAGTAGAACTTGAAGAAGAAGCTTCTAATAAAAAACCTGAAAGGGGAGCTTAAAAAGAAGCTTTAAAGAGAAGCTCTAAAAGAAACTTTAAAGATAAGCTTAAAGTAGAAACTTGAAGAAGAATCTTCTAATAGAAACTTGAAGGAGAAGCTTAAAAAAATAGCTTAAAAGATAAGCTTAAAGTAGATACTAGAAGAAGAAGCTTCTAATATAAAATTCAAGGAGAAGCTTAAAAATAAACTTTAAATAGAGTCTTGATATAAATTAACTTAAACCGGAGGCATAAAAATAGCTTCAAATTGAACTTAAAAATCATTCACCAATCAATTTACATTGTACAATATAAATAAACAATTACTCCTTAATTTTTAAGAAAAAAAAAATTAATAATTAAGCCGATGACAGTACTAAAACAGTTCTAAACTTCAATCAAGACCGTTCTAAATCATTCTGAATCTTTCTAAATAATAATAATAATAATAATAATAATAATAATAATAATAATAATAATAATAATAATAATAATAATAATAATAATAATAATAATAATAATAATAATAATAATAATAATAATAATAATAATAATAATAATTCTAAATCATTCAAGACATTTCTAAATCATTTTGAACAGTTCTAAACTTCATTCTGGATAATTCTGACTTAAACTGTTCACCAACTTCAAAAATGACAAGTGCCAGATAATCGCTTTATAGTTTTGTATACCAGTAAAATCAACACAGAAACATTGTCCTATTGTTTTATTCCGGTTTGTTTTAAATTTTCCCACAACAATCTTAAGATGCTATACATTCAAATCATTAATAAAATTAAAAACAAAGTTTCAAGACGTTACCCTAACGCAAAATCAATAAATTTTTAAATTGTGTATTTATCTTACCGGATGAAATCGGTCTCATCGGGCACGTCATGATGTTCTCGCAGCGCTGTCCGTCGACGTTGAACTCCTCATTTTCAATGTAGAGCTTGATAAAAGGCAATCTTGTGTTTAAGTAGTATCTACAATGCAAATTCCGGGGGTATATGCCGGGATAAGCCGGCGATTGAACGTAACAAGTTTGGAGACGGCAATCTCTAAATATTCTCTCGCAATATGACCTGAAACCAGATAAAATCAATCATGCGAAAACGAACGTCGCTTTGCAGATTCGTGAATAATAATGATTTTATACGATTGTGCACACCATTAATTCCGGGTTAAAAGGCGAATGAAAAGTTTATGAAAAACAATACTGAATAAGCCGCCGCTTAAAAGGCCGTACGAAACACGGAAAAAGGCTTCTTATCTCGCTGTGGAAGTCTGCCGGTTATATAAAACGCATTTAATTAAATCGTCGGGCTCCACAGAGCGCCCCGTTCCACGCACTTTTTCTTCCTTGTAATGAACACCGTATAATGTAATCTCGGTTTGACCTGAATTTTCCTACCTGTCTTTTGTAAACGAGCGCCCGGCGAAAACGAAGAAAAAAATCCCAATCTGCAGCGAGAATAAATGTAAATATTTAAATTCGGTATTCTTGTGGCGAAATCATTTAAATAATAAATCGAATAAAAGTGAAATTTCCGGCGCGAGCTTACCGAAAGGAAAAAAAAATCGATCCTTGTTTCGGCTAATCAAGTAATCTGAATAATTTCCTACGGGACGCGGGGTTGTTCTCCGAATGTTTCGGTTTGTTTTATATTTAAATTTAATTTCGAGATGGAATAGGAACAACACATACGGGGTGTCCCACGACGAGTTAAAACTATCCGTATTGCAAACTTATAAAACCTATTTAATTGAGAATTAGACAGGAATTTAAGCTTTATGTAAAATTTTTAATATCTTCAAACCTATTAGGTTTAAGTATAGAGAAGTAAACATGAACTTCCCTTATTTTTTGCCGTTTTACCGCTGATTTCAGTAAAATAGAAAATACTGGGTGGATTCACTTAAAAAAAATGGAGAAATTTGATATTTTTGATATTCAACTTTACGCAATTTTTGTACACACCCTGTATAAAATAAAAAGTTTTTTGAACAAAGTTTCAAATACCTTTGACCTTGCTAATAGCCCCTCAATAGAAATCGTTTCCATACCTTTAAGGGGATCCCCGTAAAAAAATAATATATAAAGGTCAACATCGGTCAAATTTTTCAAAAAAAATTAACTCAAAAAATATGCATTTTTCAAAAAACTGTTTTAGACAAAAGTACCCTAAAATTTTACGCAGATTTCGAAAATATATACAGGGTGTTCCAACACATACATACAATAACCATAACACCCAAATATTATTTAAATCGGATAAGTAGTTTCCTACATATATACAGACAGTTTTAACTCGTCATGGGACACCCTGTATACTCACCCTTGCACGACCTCGCCTCTCCTGTTGGGATAGAGCTCGGGATGCTGCCCGTACCGCAGGTAAACGACTAATTGTTGCTCGGCCCTCGTATCGAAGCTCAGATAAGTTTGATCGGTGAAATTTTCGACGTGGAACAGCACTTTAACGAACGACGTTTCGGACATGAAAGTCTGAGGTTGTTCGCTCTCGCCGCAGAATATGCCCGGCTCCTTGCGATTCGACACGTCGGTTTTCGCGTTACCGTCCACAATCTGAAACCAAATTTACCCTGTTATATATCGATTAAAAATTGATCCATTTTGCCCTGTTTTACCGATTAAAAATTACCTTACTATATTCTCTTATGTCAATTAAAAACTACACAATTTTACCCTGTTATATCAACCAAAAACTATTTCATTTTACCCGGATATTTCGATTAAAAACTATTGATTAAAAACTCCATTTTGCCTTGTTTTACCAATTAAAAACTATACCTTATACTATTTTTTTGTATCAACTACACTTTTTTACCCTGTTATATCGATTAAACTATTCTATTTACCCTACTCTCTTATATCAATTAAAAACTACCTTACCCTATTAAATCAAATAAAATCTTTATTATGTAGTACCTATAAATGTTAAAATTAGACTCAAAAACTGCTCAAAAACATTTTTTATGTTGTCTACAGACCGAGAGGGATAGCTGAGGACATCAAGGTCATATGCGCAATAGTGAATATTAGTTTAAATACTTGTCTATTCGAATTATACAATTTTTGACCCTAAATATTTGATTTTATTTAGGTAACAGAACTTTTGCTTTCGAAACAGATGCGCTAATGCGACGTGGATTATATTCTAAGATATTTAATAAGGAAAATGCACATGACAGCGAGGAACTATTGCGTATTCAGGACACGAATCCCCTGAAATATTTCATAAATGCCGGCTTTAGGGAAATCCTGGTTCTGACAGAATAACGGAGCAGTGGAAGTTCGGGGAAATTTTCATTCACAATATGGCGGGATAACCACCCCGAAATGTCGGGCTTAATATAAGAATGTGATAAATATATTCCGGGCGAGACTTAAACGCGCCTTCATTAATTACGTTCACGTTGACATGTTATTTTTGCGTGCTCCACAACGTGTATATAAAGTTAGAAAAGAAGTTAAATTCGACCGAAATTGGTTTTTGTTCGCCCCCGGTTTAATGCTAATTTCATGGAGTTAATCTAATGTTTAGTTTTGGTTGTCAATAAAATAACTTTCGGGGTTGTGTAGACAAAGGATGAAACTTCTCTATCGGTTTTCTGATTAAATGGCAAATAAAACTTATAGAAAAGAGCAAATCCGGCACGTCAACAAAACTCTCTCGGCGTTACCGACGAACTTCAAAATACTGGCAACTCGAGTTTTCAGTTTTTAGTAGAGAATTTCGCATCTTTCTTCTGGTTATTATTAAAAGTTCCCTCCTCCGAATTCGCGCGAGATTTATATCAATTATACTCGAAATATTCCCAGTTAATTTCGACTAATTTATACAGTAGACTCTTTAAGCCGTTGTGCCTCTCAAAACAATTTCTTCGAATCAACTTCGCCTTTCGAATTTGATTTCGCCTGTCGAATTTTAATTAACGCCAACCAACTTAGCGCGACAGAGCTAAAAATAAACACCTATATACACAACGATTGAAATAATTCAGTAATAAAAATTATAAACTATGTGCCAATACGCTTCTACAAATATCCCTGTCGTATTGTACACAATAAACAGTTAACACTATTCACTGGAAACCAAACTATGTACATGTATTGTGAGGTATACTCGATGTTTAATTAAATGGACCAAAACAAGTATGAGACTGTTTTCCGTGTTAACATTGTATCGATTGCTAGCACGCGCGACAATACAGCGACGGAAATCAATTGTGTTTTTACCAATAAATCGCGATAAATCTACAATACTCGAACGATTCGCATAATCTATAAGAAGATTGATGCACCGGACTCTACCTCATATTTCAATTAGGTCCGAGCGAAATAAAATCCTTTTCAGTTTTCCAGGTTACACTCCCCGATCGAGCCGGGACGGTTTCTTTTTCCTCCGGTTGCCTCGCTAGCTCGGCCGAGTCACTGGAGGTCGATTTGTCAAGAGTAAAGTATAGTGATTCTAATATTAATCCGATTTGGACCGTTGTACCGGGGACGCGAAATAAATCGCGTTATAAGCACCGAGAATGCTACGAATTCCATACTCTCGCGTTGCCAATAAGCGCGAATCGCCCCGGTATAGCCGCTCAGCCGCGCTGATGTGGCCCACTTAAGTTTTAAACATCAACTCACCAATAGTTGATATTAATTCTACAACTGTGCGATCACGCGATTTCGGACCGGCAGCTGGCTCGCGGTCGTAAATCACCAAATATTCATCTAATTAATGTCGCTCTTCAGTTTGTTTGTCTTAGATCAGTGGCTCGCGCGGTCTGAAAATTTTTCGCGATTTCTCAAAGCCTTGGTTAAACTTTACTTGTTTTTAAAATTATTAATTTTAACTTATAAAATTTATTTGACATAAAATTTCACTGACAAAGTGAGTAGATTAAATATTACCCAATTAATACTTTAATCTATTTAATTTTGATACTAAAAACGGTACGTCCATGTGCACCGGTACCTTTGAAGTCGGCGCTAGGCGTTTTTTATGCCATGTCGAATTATGACTAGAAATAGTATAACTGATTATACCTTTCCAACATCTTGCATTAGACCGATTACATCAATACAGAAGATTAATGTTCGCTTGGTTTTGTACGTTCGTGCGAGAATCGTTGGGATTTTATCATCTCGACTATTTAAATTGCTTTTTTAGGATCTGAAATTGTGTAGTTTGAATGGACTAGTATTCATTATTGCGCGTTGATGTCCTCAGCTATCCCTTTCGGTCTGTAGACATTTAATAAAATGTAATACATTTGTAGTTATTCGAATTAGAATTAATTCAGGACTATTTAGAGTGCTTCAGGGTGTACTAGAACTATTTAGAATAATTTAAAATGCTTCCGAATGCACTAGAACTGTTTAGAACAATTTATAATGTTTCAGGATTCACTAGAACTTGTCCAGGCCAGTTTAGAAATGCTTCAGGACCAGGACGCATTAAAACTAATTCAGGACAATTTATTGTCTATACAACACATCTACGGGTAAGTCCAAATTTGTTTGCAAAACGGTCAATTCTGTGAGTTGAACAAAGAAAGATTATTAAAGTAACAGAGGTTAGAGTGAAAATATTGCAATCCCACAACATCCCCTTTCTTCTTCCTTTACACGATACTATTAGAAGTTGTCTTTGTTGCATCCCTACAACCTATATTGCAACCTACAATTTCGCACTTGCATGTATAAGTTTTCTACATAAAAAAATCAATTTTAATCTCGTACGCGGCCTTTAACTTCGCGGAAATACAGCAAAACAATAACGTTATATTTTTTTTATCGAAAGCGGTTTAGTCGAACCGTAATTTTTTACGAGGGCTCGAGAAAAATGCGAATTTTTCACAGGCAAATATCTTTTCATATTCTGTATCCCTCTATTTATTGCCAACGACATCACCGATGGTGAATATGGCATGTCATCAATTACGAGAGCCGTTCGATACCTTCGACAGCGCCCCGGATTTTTTTCTATATGCAAATTGATAATGTATGACACTCCCGAGGCTGGTGACGCACTACCTCATACTTCTTCTGAATAATAACGCGTTCCCGGAGTTTTATATTTGCCCCATATTTTATTTCCATTCTAATTTCGTATCCGAGCGATATTCATTTTTGCATGTAAAAATCGATGGATTTCCAACAATAGCTCATTTACGAGTATATACTGCCTATGTACAAGAGCATATAGGGTGAAAACCTCATGGCCTAAATCATTTAAAACAGTCTAGGACCATTTAGAACGCTCCAAAATCATCTAGAACTGTCTAAAATCATTTAGAACGATCCAGAATTATTTATAGCTGAACTGTTTAAAACAATTCAGAGCGCTTCGAAACCATTTAGAATGTTTCACCTTACCCTTGTAAGTGTCTAGAAAAGCGTATTATTCATTCGAGTAGCTTTAAACAAAAACTTTTATTATAACTTATTAAAATGTAAAGCTTTTTAAACATGTTAATCCACTCTTAATGCAAAAACTCCGGTCCCCGGAGTGTTTCGAGAGAGACAGAGTGAAAAAAAAAATTCTCAACAAGTAGTTAATTCCGAGCGGGGAAGGATTTTCATTCAAAAGATACACAAAACTTCATCTGTTTCAAGTCTGTCGTATTCACTGGAGCCCGGAATCAAATCTGTACCGGCGCTCCGTGTTATAATTTTTTTCTTATTTCATTTAGCTCTCTCACCTATTTCAACAAGACGAAGGACTAACAAAAGGAAACGGTACGTAGTGTCTCGACGACGACGAGTGGGTTTTGTTGTGATTTTTATTTTTCTTTTAACTTGTATTATTTTTTTTTTTTTCGTTTCTACGGGTAGTTTCGTGCTGGACGAGCAGAGAAATGAGAAATATAGAAGTCGGGTTTCGTGACCAAGAAACGTAGAATTAACGAGTAAAATCGCTGGAAGGGAATTTGCGCAATAATTTGTCTAGTTTACAGTCGGTGCAAAACAAATATCAATGCACGTCATTTACAAATAGGCAGTGGTGCCGATTTTTTATAGAGTTTGGAATAATTAGTAATAATTAGTATGATTTGTACAATTTTGTTGTTGTTGTTGCCTCATTAGGTACTCGTTAATCTAAATTATAGGATTCTCTGTAGTTGTTCCCCTTAGAAGTACACAACGCCCTCCTCTTGTGTCCAGATTTTTGAGATCTGAAAACATTCTCCTCAAGTTTATAGATAGTACAATTTGTACAATACACCCACAGGAAAATTTCTTGTTGTTTCCGATCGATTTTCCACCCGTCGAATCGAATTCTTTGTAAAACCCATCCGAATTCGTCAGAATGGATAAAAATGAGCCAATACGTCTCGCGAGTTAACTTTTCGCCCTCTTAGTTTTCGAAATACGCTTTTAAAGGAAAGGAATACGTTGCCTCGAGAGAGGTGTTTTTAACTAAAATAATGCAATTCGACAACTTTTAGCAGTTGAGGCGCTGTCGATAGCGATTTATAGACGATAATGGTTTTCCCAGTCAGAACCGATTCTGAAATATTGTTAACTTTGTTTTACGACTTTTATGAAATATTTCTCGGGTGCGAGAAGAAGGAGAACCGACGTTTCCTGTAAGGCGATATTTGTCAACAATGTTTAGAGTCGCTTTTTGTCTGGAGTCCGGGGAGTTCATTGTTGGAAGTTTTAGCTTCCCCGACATCAACGAATTTATTCTTAATGGAAATTATTCCTTTCGTATAATACGCGTTCTTACAGAGTCAGTTAAAAAATTAGATTATTTCAGCGTTCATCGATTTTTCTCCCTAATTCCGTGCGTTAAAAAGAAGCAGTAATGGCAATTCCCTTTTTCAATTCGTCCCGGCTGCTAAAAGGATCCCATCGAACAAAAAAACCTTTGCCTGTCAATAAGTTGATAGAAACAAATTATTATCCATTCTTTAGCCGTCCTTTAATAACGTTACGAAGTGACTGCAACTTTTTGAATAAAAGCGGACGAAAAAAAGAAGAGAAATCGTTAAAAATCATTGAGTGCTCTTTTAGTAGTTCTCTCTCCATTTTCGACGTGAAGTTTCCTGGATTCCTAGGAAATCGTCGAAGTTACTTGATCAATAAATATGCGAAAGTTCGAAACGGTCGCCCAGAAAAATGGCCCTGGATTTTTTACTCCTCCGGCGCCTTTTCCTCGCGAGTTTTGATTAATGGAATTCAGTTCGAGACGAATGCACAAGGAAAAAAAACTGAGAAGAAAAAATTATCTAAGCGCCTCAAAAAATAATTAAGTCTGGTTTTGTAAAAAATATTAATAGGATAAATCATTTCTTCGTGAACCTAAGTGAATTATTAATAATAGATTATTAATAATAGAATTATTAATAATACATTACACAGTGTAATATAATCGCTTTACTCCAACTCCAAATTTTCGAAAGATCCTGGTACGCTGACTGTATTGTTAAAAAAGGACTGGAAAAAGCGAAATATCTCAGTATTTATCGTCGATATCCGATCGACGGCCATCTATCAATTTTTTCCCCGGGACTTAATTGAAAATCCGTTGCACCCGCGACGCCGGGCACCATTAGTAAGCAGGAGCGCGCTCCTCGAGTTAATCTTCCCGCTCCCAGTCGATTCTCGTGCAGTTCGACATCCTGATGGTCCGGCGCTCCTCGTACGCCATCTGTCGTCGCGCTCCGATCTAACAAGCCAGCCGGATAATTGGAAAATCCTCGAGAAATAAAACGATTCCACGGCGTGAAAACAGCAAATCCAATAATCTCAGATTTAGTTGGCACTGAAATAATGGAACGCCCGTCTATTGTGTTTTTTTATAGCGCCTCTTCGGGGCTTCGGAATTCGTCAAAAAATGTACTGCGAAAAAATGTAGCAGGAAACAAAGGGGGAGGAGGATCGTTGCAGCTGGGTTGCCGGTAACGAACCGTCTTGACTTTCGCCATAACGATGTCAATTTTCGCGAGCTCTCCGGCTCGCTCGAGTGCCCTGGATGAATAATAAAAACGGCAAATTAATTAGTCCGGGCTGCCCTTAACTTCTCTGTTTAGTATGTCAACTTGGACTTGAACTACGTTGCGAATTAACCTCGGAGATACGAGTGTCGCAGGATCATTACTGCACGTTCTGGATGTATCGGATTAGACAGAAACTCTTGGTCCAGACTACGTTTGTTGATTTAAATTAAGTGGTATTAGATTAAAAAAAAACGAGTTTTCTTTTGTAGGAACATTCACGTTCGAAACCGCCCTAACACTGCAATTTATCTGGCGCATCAAATGAAAATCCCTCCCCTTTCCATATCCATTGTTAGCTCTTTAGTTTTATGCTGAAATCCCGGCTCATCCGCTCGTCGAAGTACTGATTACATTCAACCACGCCTCGATTGTTTCTTGTTTGTTTTTAATTAGGCGGTATATATCATTAACGCCATTTCATTATACTGCTGACTTGACAGTGGCTGGTTAAGTTTCGACTACAATGACTTGCATTAATTAGACACTTTTAGCTTAACAGGGCGATTTGACGAACAGAGTTAGCTCGATAACCTGCAAATAAGTAAATTGTGCATAGGTTTCACCATCGAATTACCAAATCTATTCAACTGAAGGCGACCCGCACGATGAGGATATTTGTAGCACTGTTGAATGGGATTTTTCTCGAAGAGTCTATCTGGAATATCCCGGATTGCGCGTTTAACTTGTGCCTGGGCGACGAAATAGTCATTCGAAATGATGAATGCGGAATTCTACATTCAGGAGTTATCAATCAAAAAGTCGGGAGAACGTCGCTGCTGAAATAACAGATATTTTCGCCGCAGTCGGAGATTTTTAATATTATATTTCGAAGTCGGAAGAGCGGCCTTCGCGACATTCGGCCGGGAAATGATTGATCTGCATTGGATGCCGGAGAAGTTTTATTGAGAAAACTTTTACAATATCGAAATCAGTTAGGTGGCATCAGGTCCTGCTCCTTCGTGTGGCGAAAAGAGGACGTAAAACGGGACCCGCTCGCTCGTTCCTTTTGTCTTTCGATTGGTAACTCGAGGAAACAAATTCCGGGAAACATTCTTTTATATACCAAGTTTTTATCTCCGGTAACTTCATAGTGAATCGACCTGAAAAGTGGTGTTGTTAAAAAAATAGAATAATTGAGGCGTGCATGAAACCTGCAACTGCAGAAGAATCGATACAAACACTCTCTAAATAACCATCCGGGGCTATTCCCCGGAGCGCGCGAGATATATTAAGAACCGGAGGATGACTCGATGCTAATGCAGTAGCCGTCAGTTATCATTTGTTCCCGAGATGGACAAAAAGGCGATGGGTTATGATTCGGGGCGAGCCATAATCATTTATTAAGCGCCGCGATTGCGAGCTGGCGGTTCGGATGGACCGGAAAAAAAACACACGCTGTTTTGCCGTATAACTCACGTCGGATTCGTCGTTTTTGTCCCTTAAGCCCCGACCACACCGTGCGAGATAAATCGCGCGGTGTAAACGTACCATTAAATTCACGCTTTGCATTTTCGCTGTGCGATAGATTTTTGTTAGAAACGAAAATTGTACCCCGAGATTGTTAAAAATAACTGCTTGTTTGAAACGCCTTTGTGTAATTCCAATTTTTGAAGTAAAAATAGAGTGAATGTGTATACGTGAAAGCCGTAATATAAGGGGATTAAATTACATCACAAAATCACTTGAATCCCTATTGAATTCCTGCTTTCTGTACCATTAAACACCGTAAGACACCCAACAAAATCAGCAAATTTTATTAATGCTTTTATAACAATCATTAAATCACAATATAAGTACAAATAGAGTTAGTTATTAGGGGGTTAATTTGGGTTGGTGTAGTTGTTCTGAAGTTGTGGTACGTCGCGCCTCACGACTTTCTTATAAAACAGTATCCCTAAAACGAATATAACAAATAGGAGAAAGGACACGACGATGATGGTGGGCGTGAAGTCCCTTTCTATTTTCTCCAAACGTTTCATGTTGTTCAAGCCGCTCATCATCAGGTTGGACGTGGAGGTCTGGAAGTCGTCGCCGGTGGTGTCGAGCACGCGCCCGGTGGAGGATTCGTCGAGGATTTTCATGTGTTTGTAGACTTTTTTTATCGAGAAATGGTTCGATACGGGGCTGTTGGTGGCGTCGTTCGGATAGGCAGTGCCGAATATTGATTTGAAATCGATCAGTTGGTTGATTTCGTCTATGCTCGATCCCGTCGGCATGAAATCCACGGGTCCTTCGTCGCGCTCGTATTTTCTCGTATACGCCTTCAGCAATTCGTTTGCCCTACTCGACATTTTGAGTAATTGTTTCTTTTGTAATCTGAAATTATCGAACCGATGTTACTGGTAGGTTATCGCTGATATTATTTATTGTATACCTGTCTAATTTGTGCAACTAAATGATGCTTATCGGAAAAAGTTAATTTAAAAAGCACCTTCCGAGTTATTTAGATACACGAACCGCTGGAAACGAAAACCTTCTATCATTCAATTTGAACTTAAAAAATCAAATATTTACTCTATCCAATAATAATTCTACTAATTAGAAATTATAATTATAAAATTGATAAAACTTACATTTGTGCCGGATCGACTTGTTCTCTATTATTTGACCCAAAACGCGAAATACTTTTGAGGCGTAATAAATTCGCTGCCATAATGAAATTCTATTTGGCTAAAAGCGATATCGCACTTCGAAAAAAAAACTGGAATTCAATGAGTTATACGGGCGTAACATCATAAAATTGCTATGCGATCAATATTTTTTTGGAAATTTCGATCTTACACGTGAGAGCATGCCAGTAATTTCGTTATGTTTACGGAGAAACATTCCGTTCGACAATTTTTATTATGTTTCGATAAAATTTCTCGTAAAAATTTGGGATGATTATCGGCAAAAAAAGAGCAGATTTTTCCTAATAAGAGGACAATTTTGTATGAATTTCTATAGCAATGACTGTTTTAAAACTCTCTAGAACAATTTAGAGCACCCCAAAATCATTTATAATTGTCTAGAACCATTTATAAAGGTTCAGAACCATTTAGAACTATATGGAACCATTTAGAATCATATTTGGAATTACTAACATTTAATTACACTAAACTAGTGTAATTAAAAAGCCTATTTTAGAATGTAAAAGACATAAATACCTAGCTAAAAATTTATTACCTTTTTTCACTTCCCGATATAAATGAATATGCATCTAACGACAATTTTAATGAAGTTATAATAGTTCAAAGCGAAAGAGAGCGATTATACGAGCTATATGAGAAAAGTTTTATATTAAAAATTAATTTTTTTTAACATCAATATTCCCTACGAAACAAGCTGATAGATTTATTTCCGCCGCCAAAATAAAAAGCGCAAAATCGAAAATATTTAAATTCTCTTTACGGTTTTTCCTCGGTCGCAATCAGCAGAAACGGTTCCGTTTCGTATTTATCGATAACGATGACCGAAATGAAAAAAAAAACCCGAATCCCCGCGCTTATCGAAATCGGAGGCAAATTACGGGCGTAATCAAAAAACCATCAGAAGTGCGGGGTCAGTTAGCAATTACAGAAGAAGAGCCCCCTGGCAGCGGAAACGTCGCTCATTAAGGTAACATATGTTACTGTCCCGAGAGCAATCAAAAATGAATATAACGGTTACACCTAGAACTAAAGTTTTAGTGCGACATTAGAGGTGGAAAATGAAACACTAAAACCATATAAGTATTGCGAAACGTTTATTAACCCTCCAAAGAGATAACATATTGTCTTGAAACTTTCACGACTCCTGCGAGAACTGTACTAAATATTTTCAGCAACAATCACCCACTATCTTATTTGTGCGATTTTTACCTTCTATCTCTACACGAAATTACAAATTAATAAAATATAGAATATTTGGGAGCAATTACTTAAATTCGGAGAAATAATCTAAAACGCTCCTAAATCTTTTAGAATTGTCTACAACAATTTAGAACGCCCCAGAACCATTTAGAACTGTCTAGTACGGTAATCTTTTTAGCATCATTTTCTATTTTAATTATATTATTTTTACCTCCCATTTCTATCCGGAATTTTCATTCGATAAAACCCCATATATTAGTGAGCAATTACCAAAACTCGCAGAACCAGCCGATTTATCCAGCATACTAATTGCTTTTGGTAAAATAAGTAACATTTCCGAATGCGAAATTTAATTATCCCGCGCAAAATTCGTCCTCCAACATGGGCGACCTAAAGATTACCCGTCCAGATTTATAATACACCGAAAGGGTTAATCGGAGGGCGAAATAAACCAAACTTTCCGACCCGCCCCGGTACCGGTTCTATAATTGCGTTAGATACGTCACAAGATGACCGGATTAATTATTAAATTTCGTTCGAATTAATTCATTAGCATCAGGAGAATTTCGTCGAAATAACGAGTAAAATCGATGTGTCTTTTATCTAAGCGAATGCAGGGTGTTTTTTAACAAGATGCTAATACTGAAGGGCCCATTTTAAGAAAAAAAACTTCATATGAACATATGTCCTAAACGTCTTAACTTTTGAGAAATATGGTATTAAAGTTTTATTTAATCATTTCCATACCACTTTAAATATTTTTATGAAATTTGGTGTATACGGTGTTATGCATTAAAGAGTATTTTTTGACCTAAAAACATTTTTTTTATTTCCAACAGTGATGTCCTACTGGACTCGGGACAAATATTTAAAATAAATGGTACGCCACTGCTTTCGCTTGAAATAAAAATTATTTTTTGAAGCCCCGTTTAATTTAGAACAAATTTGATTTCTTGACTTTGTTTCGTACGACTCACCGTTTCGCATAAAAAAATTAAATGCATTCATTTGTAAGCTACCGCTACACTACCCGCTGTGCTAAAATAAAAAAATAATAAACTTTAGGTTTAGGACATATATTCATATGAAGTTTTTTCTTAAAATGGGCCAAAGAATCACCCCCTTGAGTCATTAAAAAACCCCCTGTATAGCGCCGTTTTAATTGCCACGGTTGAATTATGTATTCGGCGGCCCGTGTAATTTTAAATGATTGGTGGACGTTGAATGTCGTTATGCGAACCATTATGTTCGAGACTTATGTAACGATCAGTTCGTTTTTGATTAATTCGAAGGCGAATTTAACGGTTCAAATTAAAATACGACTTTTTAATTAACTGCTAATAGCCCGTTAAATTCTACTTGTTTGTTCGTTGTTGGTTATTATCCACCTAGCTGAGACTTTAATAGGGGAGCGTTTATTATTGCTCTATCATTTTTGCTAATTTCCATTAATTTACCGCGCGTGAGGTGATTAATTCCTAGAGAAAAAATTTAATATCCTCCTGTCGTCTGAAAGTGTTTAATGAATTAAAGAAATGTGGTGCTCGTAATTGCCACAATTTCACCGAAGCTTTAGAGACAATTAGCTTCGAAGGAGCAATAGGAAAAGCCAACGAACCAAAGGAAAACGATTGCAAGATTAAACCAAGATAAATATTATTTTGCGCTTTTCACTTTTCTCGTTAGCCGCGATATAAACCCGATGGAATTTGAATTAAAGAACCATTCCGTCGGTCCGCTCTTTTTGTTTGTCTAACATTCGGGAATATGTTTTTCGATAAATTGATATTTTCCAATCGCCCACCGAATTCGAATGTAACTATAAGCACCGAAATAATATTTTTTTTCACTCGATTTTAATTCAATCGAAATGTTAAATTAAATTCGACGATAAAACAACCCACTAATATCGTAAAAATTTATTCACCTTCGACTCATTTTTATTCGATAAAAGTCCATCGGTTAGTCTGTACCCTAAGAATTGAGGCAAAAATTTGTAAGTAATTAGTAAGTAATTATATTTTCTATTTGTAAATTTGGAAGATATTGTCGGTGCAAAACAAATATCAACAATTATAACATGTAAATTATTTATCAAATGCTAAAGGTTATTTTTTTATTGATTTATTTGTTCGATAACCTGCAAGTTATTATGGTCAATATTTTATTAGCAAATTACTATTTATAACGCTATGTCGATTAATTACTTATTTTTCTATTGCCCATTGATGATTACGAAGCGTATACAATATGTTTTCGAACTTTTCGTACCTACATATATAAATTAATATTTAATCAAAATTAATCACAGTAACCGCCCACAAACGTCGTAAAACCCCGAATGTATTTTTTATACTTCATTCGTTTAAATTCGAAGAATTTTAATTTGATACCATCACAAAGTGTTTAAACCTGAGTAAGTTCGAACCTTTTTTTTTTCGCTAATAATAAAACTCGAAAATCCAAAATTCCAGGACTTTTTTACTTGCATAACCCGTACATATTTAATTCTAGAAGCAATGCATTTCTATCTGATCGGGGTGTTTTCGATTCTCTCCGCGGCGGCGGCGGAAGAATGCAATTGTTGGGAGCCCCTCGAGGTGAAAACCGACGACGAGGGAAAGCAGCAGTGCACCGGCTACGGCTGGACGCAGGGCGATCCGGGCAAGTACACCAAAATCGACTGGAGTCAATCCTGCAACACGGGGCCCCTTTGCCGCTGCGAGGACCGCTGGGAAATCCAATCTGAGTTCTGCGCCAGCTTCGGCGACGACGGCGAAATGACGAACAAATGGGATTGCGAGAACAAGGCCGATTGGGACAAGTACAAGGAGATGCAGGAGGCGCAACTGGCCGTCATATTCTCCGAAGAAAAGTCCACGTCGCCGGCGCCCGATGGCGAACAACACACTTCCGAGGCTGCCGGGGAAGCGACTCGAGCGGAAGAAGCAGGAGTAGAGGAAACTGCGGAACCACAAGTAACACAAACTCCTGAAATTGCGCCAGAATCCTCACAAACCACAGTATCAACAGAAGAGCCGACTATAGAAACAAATACAGAATCCCAATCTACAGTAGAACCTGTGTTTTAGAAACTTATATATTACAAACAAGCTTATAATAATTATTATTTAAGTATTTTGAAATTGATTTTAACCAAATTTCCTTGCATAATTTCGTAGCTAACTTTAGGTCGTTTTAGTTAAGTTCAAGGTTCCAAAAACTTGGCGGAATCATTTAGAATTGCACTCCAGAATCATTTAGAACGCTTTAGTACTATTTCTAACTGTTTAGAATAATTTAGGACTGCCTAGAACCAAGAAACGTCTTCGATGTTTTAGAACTGGAATAGAATGGAACTGTCTATAGAATGATTTAGAACCATTTAGAACGGTCTAATATCATTAAGAACTGTCAAGAAGCATTTAAAACGCTAGAACTTGCCTTAAAGAAACTTATCTTATTACAAACAAGCTTATTATAATAATTATTAAGTATTTTAAAATTGTTTTAGCCAAATTTCCTTGCATAATTTTGTAGCTAACTTTAAGTTGTTATAATTAAGCTCCAAAGTTCCGTAAACTTGGCAAATTTTTTGCACTGACCAATGTTGCAAAACCAAGTTAATATGAGGTTCGTGGAAAATCAAATTCAGGAGTGCTGGGGAGTGTTTAACATACCGATTATATCAACACAATAAAATCTATTAAATATAAACATTCCGTCGAAAATTGTATAATTAAATTTCCGTTTAAAATTGGTTAACGATTAAAATTATACGAATTGATTTTGGGAGCTCATTTTGTTCAAATACGTTCCGTTTCAATGGACACGGTTATTTCATTATCGAAAACGTGGAAATTGTAAAAGTCGAATAAAAAACTATCGAAATTTATTTCGACGGCTTAGGGAAAATTTTATCGGAGCGGATATTGTTGTGTATTCAAGCGAATTTCCACTCGACTTGCAACGGATCCGTTCCTTTTTTGCCACGGGACACACTATTTCTTTTACGGTCTACTAGTTTTATTTTCATGCTAAAACTTCCATCATCCCTTAATTTATTATTACCCCGCGAGTGTTATTGCCGGATACAAAGATTTTCGGCGGGTTACAAGTTTAAATCAACTCGCGATTTCTAACAAACAACACTTCAGGATCGTAAATATTGCAGGGGCGAGTAATTAATGCAATACTAATTCCGAACTTTTAAATTCATTAAAACTTAAAGCGGCTAGTCAAGTGGAAAAACATTTAAGCATAAAGTTAGGGAACTTTTTACCTTATTTTCGAAAACCGCCGTACCGGAAAAGCAGGGGAAAATGTGAATAATAAAGTTTTATTTGATATGAAATTAAAGGAAATAATTTTAATGCTACGTACCCAATAATTTGTTTACCAAAAGGCAAGTTTTTATTTTCAACATAATTCGCAAATAAAAATTTGATGCGCCTCTTCCGGAGAAACTTTATGAAGAATTAAAACATTATGAAAAATAATCGCGAGCCGGAATGACTTCAAATCTCCGCGGTGCTGTTAAAAGCGAGTTTTTCGGGGTAGGGCGGCTAAAAAAAGGTATTAAAAAAATTCATATACGGAAACCGAGTGTTCCAAGCGACCCTTTTCCGCCCCATACGCGAAAAAATATATTTCGTATTCATGCGAGCGAAATCAAAGTGTCAAAACGGAATGGGTACCTAAATGAATATATATTTCCCATTCAAAATGAATTGCTCTTTCGTTTCCAAAAAAAAATCCACCTAATGGGCAATGGCAGAGCGACATTAATATCAAACTGACTATAAAAAGCGTAATTAGCACGCAATTAATACAAACTTCAACTCGAAAAGGTAGCGAGTACTTGTTTAATTAAAAAATTTAGAAACTCAAAATCTATTTGAGCGAAATAAAACCGGGCAAACTCTCGCAACATACATATTTATTACGAACTTTTCTGGGCAACTTTTCCGTGTACATTAATACTAAAAACCGACTCCATCGAAACTTTTTCTCGTCCCGGATTGATATTCAACACTTGTCCCGATGTTTTCATAACGTACGACGTCGAATCGGATGTTTTAAACATGACAAACGCCAGCCTAGGTGGTTTTTTTAATGAAAGCGCCGCGAAAGCAAAGTTTCCCGCGAATTAAAAAGATGCAGACGCGAAATTAAAGTTGGCGAGATAAGAGAAAAGAGTTTCGGAAAAATCTGTTTATTTCGGCTCGGATCTGCCGGCAGAACTAATAACGCGAAAATGGCTGACAATGGAAATTTATGGAATTAAAATAATTCAGCCGGATAAATTGGAAGAGAAAACGCCCGGATGGGAAGCAGTCTCTATAAATTTTTCTCTAGAATATACCTGGTAGATGAAGTTTCCGCACATTCGTATTTTTGATATGAGCGAGTGCATTTATATTTGTTTTGCACCAACTGTATAAATATAAATCTCGATAGAAGGTGCTCTCGTACTGATTTAATCGCCATAAACTTTCCTAATTTCTACTGTTTTTTAATATCGACGAGAATATTAAATCGTTTTCTGCGCTGATTGCCCCATTTGCATCGAATTTCTGAGTAATCGAAGAAATCTAATTAGAAACTTCCAGTCGGTTTTCGAATTCAATTTTTCAATTCCATCTCGAATCAGAAACTCGGTTAGGAGTTACTGGAAAAAATTAATTCGAAAAAGACCGCCATTTAATTTACTATGCTAATTTAACGGCAATCATTGTTAGCGACTATATTTCTGTTCCATCGAGTTGAATTAAATAAGTTTCGTATGCGCAAGTGCAGACTCATTTAGTTTTCATGAGCTCGTAAAAATACTCCCTAACTGTAAGTGAAATTTTGAATAATAAATTAATTAACTTCATCTCCAACAATTCCTATCTAAATCAAAAATCAAGCGAAAAAAAATTTTTTATCGCTCGAGCTAATGCATTTGGGGCGCTATTAAATTAGACGCGCCCTTTTATATTTATGAAAATGATACGAAAATTATTAGGCCTTCGGTGATTCGCTCCCAATAAGCATATAAGAATCTTTTCGAGAGTTTTTTAAAACGAAAATTTATGAAAGCGGGAACTTAAAAAGAAAAACGCGACGGAAATAAAATTTATAGGCCATAACGTGGAGTTTCTAAAAGCAACGATGATTTACAATAAACTCATCGGCTCTAGATAAAAAAAAAGAAACTCCCAACTTCGAAGGCTCTTATCGCAAATTAATGTGCCCTTTTGCCTTAGCATATTCCATTATCTACGTAGGAGAACGGGACACGTTATTGACCGCATTTTCATGCGAAATATCTTATTGACAAGTTATGAATAACAGCAGCAATCTGTTTTGAAGCTCGCCTATTTTCCAGTCGAGGGCAGGTAAACTTCGTACTTCGGCATTTTTATTGAAAGAACCCGAATCGAATTTGCCGATTTCGCATTCTGGACGATAAGGAAAAAAACAGTCGCAGTTGGTGCTGGTCTGTTTGTGCCCAAAAATAATATATTGAAGTGCACAAGTGATGCAAGCATCACAAAAGATCCACAGTGGGATATATTGAATTAAATAACAACTACAGTTGGTGCAAAACAAATATCAATGCGCGTCACCTATAATTTAGTAGGTCAAAAGTAGACAGTGTTGCCGAACTTTCAAAGAATTTACAAAATCTAAGAATTTTCTAAACTTGTCAAATGGCAAAACGACAAGAACAAATTGAAAATTATAGGGTTTCCTGTTTTACGTTTCTAAACGTTGGATGGAGCAATCTGTATGTATTTTTGGCAAGTATGACGACCAGTAGTGACCTGCATTGATATTAGTTTTGCACCGACAATACGTATACAGGGTGTTTTCGAACTTATGGCACTAAATTATAGGGGGGGGGGCTATAGTTTGCATACAATACACCCTGTATTGTATTCATTGTAGGTATAGTAAAGGAGTCTTTTTAATTGCTTTCAAAGCGATTTACATTTTTAACTAACCTAAATAAATAGAAAAACTTGGATCGTTCCATTCGAGTACGTATAAATCACCGTATTTATTGGCTTGCACTCTCAGGGATTTCGTTCAAAACGAAATAAATCACTTAAGAAAGACGCACACTTATCTTGATTATAACCAGAAAACATCCGAGCCCGTATTTTAACTAAAGTAAATGAAAAACCTCAACTCGATTCGATTCGAATAGTACGCAAACATGTAAAATTAATATTACCGTTAATACATTCATATTCATATCCGATATTAATCTCTTATTTGCTCGACATCTGTTTGATTTACAAATAAAACGAACGAAGCAATTGGAAAAGTCAATACCATTTTCGAGCATGACTTTCAGCATTATATTCCTGGATCCCATACGGAACAATCGCACCGAATCAAACTCGAGTATCCTGCAGGAAATATTCGGAACACTATGCAATGATACAGGTACATCTCACTAGTTAAGGACGAGCGCAAGGGAGCGCACATGTTGTATGAAAGGTATAGTATACATGTAAAAGCAACGATGCTCGGTATTCCAATTTAATTTCTTTGCTGTCCCACGCTCCGCTGAATTACAAAGAAATATATAATTGAAAGTAATATAGTCAATATGCCTTCAAAGCCTTTGATGTATACCTGGAATTGCTTCAATTCTTTTTGTACGGTTGTTTTTTAATTGCGTTCGGAATTTTTCCCGTTGAAAACTCGCAGTTGTTCGGAATTTCGTTGCATGAAAACATATCGTTAGGGATCGGTTGATGTTTCGGGGCAACGCTACACGTGCAAGTCGGGTTGCATAACATTCAAAGTCACGCGTGAAAATCAATTAATCCCGAAGGCAACTGGTACGAATTCGGAATTTCGCATTGAATGGGAGAGCAAACGAGTCGTTCGGTAGGATATTTGTTGTCGCAATTAAACGAGGATATTCCTAAATTAGAAGGAACTTTATTAACTGTATTTAATCCTTCGGTTTAGCCGAGCAAGCGAGTTTTGTTCGTAGCTCTTAGGTCATTTAATCCCGACGTAATACAGACAGTTAGGTCGCAGGGAGATAAACTACCCCGCAGTCCGTTTCTAAATCAGGATTGACGTTCGAAATAATACCACGTTGGATATAACACGCAGACACTCGAATATTATTACGAGGGTACTGTGAAAAGTTCTGCGCCTGGACAATGAACGTCCGCGATTTTCAGTTAAAAAAAATATAATATTCTTCTTATTATGTCGAAATATTTTGTTCGACAATATATTTTTGTATTGTGTATAAATGGTTTTAGACAGTTCTAATTGATTCTGGAACCTTCTAAATTGTTCTACACAGTTCTAAATGACTCAAGCCGAGAACTTTTCACCCTACCCTCGTACTCCACTCTATTAATT